AGTTTTGGCTCAAACTCATTGTCTCCGACCTTACAACTTAGAAATCAGTTACGATATGGATACTTCAAATAATCTCGCTCAAAATACTACTCTTAACTCTACTCTAAATAACTCTACTAATACTGTTGACTTTGCAAATACTACGACCGAACAAACAAATCTCCTCAATTTTTCTCGAAAACTTTTCTACAAGTTCCCCTAATTTTCGCACCTCCAGTCAAATAAGACCCAAGATATCTACAGTTCGCCCTATGGATCGCCCGAGCCGTATTGATCAAATACGTTCCCGAAACATTGCCAGACAGAGACATTCTCGAGAACGTTTCGTGGTCACTCGAGGACAGATTACGCAAAAGGCCCTCACTCATTTCCTCGATAAGTGCCGGAGGCAGCGGCTGACAAGACGGGCCAGAAGAGGAGAGGTACTTCGAATAGGGGTTAATGCTATCAACAACCACAAACCGCTAGTCACTCAGGACAAGAAGAAGGTGGTCGGATTGCCAGGACTATTTGATGTGGATCTGCTGGGAGAGCTGACAGGGGAATACCCGTTCCTCGGACCGATGAGGACTGCAATCATTAATAAGGATGTACAATCCTTTAACAAACTGGGGACCTACATGGCCCAATTCTGGCAAAAGCGGCGGTAGTAAACAACTGTGTACTGATAGACAACAAACTAGCCATACCCGAGCAGTTACGAAGTGCTATCCTGATCCGACTTCATCGCTCGCACCCAGGCCAAGCGGCCATAATGGACGCCTCGGAGTATATTTGGTGGCCATTTCTTAACCGCCAAATTGTCAACGTCTGCGAAAAATGCCCGGAGTGTACTCTATTTGCGCAAGGACTTGAAAGGAACCTCCTAACTCCGGAGCAACGGTCAAGCCAGGATTACAGCCGCGATAGGGCTAAAGTTGTACCCAGAGGATCGTCACACAGCCCAGAAATCCCCTTTAAGTTCAAGCCACTCTTTGGCGTGGGTGAGCGTATCGCGGATAGTCAACCGTATAAAGCCTTGGAGAACCTTGCAAAGGCAGCTAATACCTGGAAGCAGTGGAAGCGGAATGTGCCCCCACAACAAGGACAAGATCTTCTCCGTGAATTGGCAGCTCGTAATAGCGACCTCGCAAACTCGCTCAAGACAGGGATCACAAAGGGAACCCTACGCTTCTACGACAACGCTCGCGATACGTCAGCTCCAGCACTCTCGCATTCACAGAGAATGAACGTGTCGTCCTCTTCGAGGCCTAAAAGTTTCTCAAAAACACCTACGCCTGGCACAGTGGGAGAACGCTTGCAACGACGAATTGCTCCTCGGCCTCAATCTCAACCAGCTACTACTTCAGCTACAAGGCAGTCAAATGAACCTTCGAAGGGCAAGGTGATTGACTTGACAGTAGAGTCATCGAGCGAGGACTCATTGATCACTGGCCCCCAGCTCGAATTAGTGGAGGCACCGGTTTCAACGCCTCAAGGATTGGCTCCTGTGATCGCTACTTCAACTACTCCGATTGTCGATCCTCCAACTCACCCCGCCTTGACATCTACTACAGGGGCGGTAGCACCACCCCAGGATCTGCCACAGACTTCAGACAAGGTCCCTCAGAATGCGACAGAGGATTCAGCAAATACTGGCCATATGGAGGTTGACAATCCTACCTCTCAATCTTCGAGCGAGTTTAGATCATCTAATCGGTCTAAGAAACCAACGAGGTTTTATGGAGATCCTCTTCGCCATTCAGTTAAGAGTGTAACTGAATCTGACTCTGCGGAGCCTTCGTCACAACGACACAACACTGATCAAGTTACTACGCCACTCGCCGACCAAATTACTACGCCATTCACCCCAATTGTTCGGAAAGTGCCGTTTCCTAGGACTAAGGAGCAGACTACTCCGTTTAAGAAAACAAGAACCGAAGAGCATGATAAACTTTAAAACTTTGTAAACTCCGCCATACTAGCCTATTGATTAGGTTATCACTTACCCATTACGGTGCTTATTTTCTCTCTCATTATCCTGCCTGATTCAAAATTTATACTAAGATAAATTTTCTAGAGGGGGAAGTGTCATGAGGCGACCTTCGGTACCTCATTATATTCTATTTACTTATGTATTGTCTTATCTAACTATATCTTAATTATTTACTTAGTGCAGTAAATTGATTCAAGGACAAATCTCACCAGCTAAATCGTTTGTCACTTGAGATTCGGAAGCGGTCATTCGCGAAAGCCTTAAGTGTGAAATCTAGTCATAAAACATTATACATTAAAACTATACATTCAATTCTGGATTCGATAATCATTTATTCGTTACTTTATTCTATCTATATATATATCCTATCTAATTCAATATCCGAATTTTATAACATCTTTTTCCCTGCTCAAACTGAGGGAAATCTCAAGTGAGTATCAGTTCGCCCGCTAGTGTTGACATAATTTTTGAGGAATAAAAACAAAAAAATGACTTCTCGACGTCTCAATTACAGCGTCTACCTGTCAAGCTCAAATCAATTAAAAGGATCTTGTAAAAGTAATTTACCTTAAAATGAGTTTAAATGCTTTAAAATAGTTTTATGAAAATAATGATTTCTATAACAGTAAGGTTTTCTATGAAAGTAAGGCTTTCTTTCGTGAGAAAATGTTTATTTTACTTCGTGTTTATATAACATTCTGGTGCCGTATTGAAACCGAGTGCTTAGATTAGGAAGAAAGTTTTAGTTTATTATGTTGTCTATTTTTGAAGTTGTAGAATTTTATCAAGCTTATTATCGTGTCCTTCGTATTGTCCTTTGATAAAATTGTTCTGATTCAAATTTAGATTGTCTTTCAGTCTTTTTGCATCATCTGTCACTGTTTTTGTTGGTCTTTTTCCCTGATGATCAATATAATCATGCAAGTACATAAAAAAAATTTCTGTTTCAACTTCTGAAATGCTTCAGCTTTTGAAATCACTGTTCATGGAAGCTAGAATATCACTCACTATGGGCAAAACTGATGTGTTGCTAATATTGCTTTAAGTTTTAAAAGTACCCAATTGTATTGATCCAGTCCTCCTCTATTGAGTGTATTCCGTTTTTTTTATCCTGGAGAAATCAATAAAGTTTTCTTTTTTTTTCGTTAAGCATCTGATAGTTTAGCAGCCGAGTCATCAAAAGTGCGTACGCGATTAAAGATTATCTGAACAAGGAATCCAATGAAATAGAATCAATATGGTGCGATGTGTTTTGTGAGATTAGAGCCATAGTTTTCACTCAGTATATTGCGAAAACAATTGTACTTGTAATCGGTAACAAGTTTTTCCCCGTAAATTTTTTTTGACAAATCTGTTGGAAGTTGACCTTGCTTGATTATGGTACTTCAATATTTTAAAAGCACTTCTTAATTGGTTTATTGGAATATAAGTCCGTGAAAGACTAAGGTCTAGGATTCGGATCTCGACCGGACCCATTTATATTTAAAACCTGAATTGTCGGAATATCGTTTTGTCGGCTTTTTTCTTGGCTTAATTTTCAATTCAACACGGACTTTCTGGAAGGCTCGCCGTTTTCGTTTGCAATGACTAATATCTGAAAAAATGCAGGTAATTTGTTATTTAAGTCCATTTAATGTTTCTGTGGCTTAAATGGTTTCGGCGTATGTTATATTGGTTTGAACAAGGTTTGTCAACTTTGAATATGTCGCTTGAAGGAGACAGGTTTTGCGTGAAATTTGTTGTTTCGCGTGACGTAATAATCTTAAATACTAAAGTTTTTGGTAGAACTGGATCAAGTTTTGCTCAACATCGATCAAATTGAGGTTTGTAAAGAATCCGATAATTAATCAGTCTGGTAATCCAAAGCGTGTGAAAAAAATGGCTCAAATTTTTTTGCTTGTTATGCGGACGCATATTTAGACAATTTTTATGCCTTTTCTACTTAATCAATCTGATCAAAAGTGACAGACATTGCGGTCAATTTTTGATCTATTTAGATCAAAAGGAGGTTCATGCATTGACCGGTAATTCATCAGTCGGTTAATCAAAAAAAGGATTAGAGATTAAGTAGAAACTACGGAAGGAATCAAAACGGAAAAGAAAGAATTTAGTGCTGTTCGCTTTGCGGTATTCGGATCCCAATTTCTTTCTAAAATTGAACCCTATTTTCAACCCGATTTGTTTGATTAAAAAACGCAAAAAGTACTGGCTCTTTTTTTCTGGTTGACCTTGTCAGCAATACCAATGAGTTTTTTTTGGCATCTCGTTTGCCAAATTCCCACGGCAATGCACGTAGTTCTCGGATTTTTTAAAATATTTTGGATTATAATTTTACGAACTTCAAATCTGTTTTGTGTTTTAGTTTTGTGTTTTTTCTGATTTATTCGGTTTAAAAGGGTTCGGTTTTTTTAATACCTGCTTTGTCGCTTCATACTGAGTCGTTTGATGGGCAAAAAAAGGTTCAATTTATGCGTGTGTGTATATGTAAGTGCGTGTGTCTGTGTTGTTATGCGTGTGTCTCCCTGATATGTGTATATGTAAGTGTGTGTATATGTAAGTGCGTGTGTCTGTGTTGTTATGCGTGTGTCTCCCTGATATGTGTCTTACTTGGCATGTCATTCTCAAAATGAAATTTGTTCATGACAAATTGAGAGGAACGTTTGAACGAATTGTAGATATATGTATTTTTCTTAAACTTTTTTTCATGCCATTGTTGGCTAGCTTGACATGGCATGTTTGTGTTTTATTTATGTTTATGGCATTTTTAACTGTCATTTTGATTAAATTTTTTATAGACTTTGTAAGATGCTAACTTTAATTGAGTGTGCTCAAAGTGCATCATGTTACATCTAGCCCAATTTAGTGAAAAAGTTTTCATGATCGCGTTGTGTGTGAAATTCCAACTTATTTTGAGATCAACGCATTCCAATTTTCAAGTTTTATTCTTTTTTTCTAGATATTTTAAATCCACACTGTATACTTCGCTTTGACGCAAGGACATGGTGTTGACGCGTTAGTGTTTCAGCCTTGGCGAAGGTGCAACTGGAAGATTGTTTCGTGGAGTGGTACAGCCCAGTGACCATACATGCATTCAAGCAGAACATGATGTCCAAAATGAGTCGCAGTATCGGAGTGGACCTCCTCGGAATCAGCAAAAGTAAGTTGCATTTATCCAATCTCAGCATCCTCTACCCCCACCTCAGCTGTAAATTAGTTTGGCGAGGGTAATGACATTTAAACTAAAAGTTTAAACCAAAATTCAACCGAACTTGCCCTTTTATTGATTTTGACCTTTTCAATGTCCGTTTTGTTTTTTTTTATCAAGGGAATATGCCTACAAGTTGTTCCCCTAGAAATGAGTTTTTTCGCTGTTTGACTTTTGATTTCTTTCAATTCATTCAATGTGCCGAAGGAAGATATATTGCGCTCTTTAATTACAAAGTAGAAATAACGCGAAAAATTTATAACTACTTTTGGTTTCGAAAGTGGATTTTAGTTTGGCTCTTTTACAGTCCCGAATTTAATAATTCTGAAATTAAAACTGCAATAAAACTTATCACAACATTGATTACATGCAAGTTGCCATATGAACGATTTTTAAACAACACATTAATTTAATTCTGTTAAGGGGTTGGAAACTTGTGAAAGAACATTTAATTTTTAGGAGCATGCGATCGCAACTTTTCAGTGTTTTGTTGTTTCGACCATAGAAAATGGGTAGCAACTTTGTATTCAGAGGTCTTGTAGTTTTTTTCAAGAAAAATCAGATACCACAAATAATCCTTGGAACGGGTCGAGTAATATGTCCTATTAAAGCTTTTTCAGTCGTGACTCGAACGACATGAAATTTTCAAAAAGATGCCCCATTGTCGAGAAAAATTAGTTTTAAGTTTTGAGTTCTAGGCTCTTTTTTTGCCCCCACCTCACATGAGCATTTTTTATGGTGTAGCGAGTAGTTGTACAAGGTTATTTATGAAGATCAAATATGTTAGTCAAAACCTAATTATGCCACAGGTCAATTTTCATATCAATTGGACAATGTGATCTGTAATTTTACTTGTAAAACTATGCAGATGGAGGGAGGGTAAGGAAAAAGAGCTGAGTTTAAGTTAAATTTCGAGCCAGTAAAGCAATCGAGGAACGTTTGTTACATGAAAAGTTAACTTTTAATAAGGCCTTTAGACTACGAAAACTTGATTTTACAAAAAATTTGTTCTGGCAGTTTCGTTTAGCAATTCCTTTGCAATGAGGGTTTCCTTAAAACTATTTCTCTATTTTTCTTCTCATTTTCAAAATTATTGAGTAAAAGATAAGAAAAATTTTAACACTTTTGTTCTTTTTTCATTTTTTGTTTGCTATTCATTGTTTGGAGGCAAATGTTGTCAATTTTGCCTAATTCACTAACTTTTTACGCGTTTTTATATTTCTCTAATCACACCACGCAACAAAAACGACACCAAAAAGAAAAACAAACTGAGGCTATCCTTGCTACCAATTGTAGTTTGCTACGAATGGTCACCGAACCATTTTTACGCAAGCAAAGCTTGTGTTATAGTATGAACTCTTTTTTCCAACCTAAGTCTCAAATATTATTGCGACGCAAACATTGTTGCGACAAAAGGTGTTAATTTTGAAAGTGTTCATTTTGATCCATAACCAGCTATTAAGTACAGCCAATGCTAAGGATATTAGCACAGACTATTGTTTTACAAATAGCTCTTTAGCTTCAAGGTATCATGGATCTGTAGCGTAGAGGTAGGGAAGGAGACCAAAACAAAATAAGAGGGTTCGAAACTGGGCAGGGTCGGATGTTTTTAATGAACTTATTCGTATATTAGTTTAAATGCGCCCGCTCTAATGAATTGAGGCATGTTAGTTGGTAAATTTCTTTTTTCAAATTGACTGTTACTGCTAATGCGTCTAAATTGGCTTGAGTCACTTAGCAATTATGAAGACTCATTATTGGCGTGTGTCACTTAAGAAATTAGGTAGACTCAAAGTTTTACTAATTCAGATTTTCCCAGTAGCGTTATCGGTCATATTTTTGCGTGCGTATGAGAAGTGCAACTTCGCCTCTGTGGAATGACTACAATATCAGAATTGTGCGTTTAGTGTCGCGTGGTTACCTCCAAGCAGCCAGCACAAGTCACGTGGCTGGTGAGGTTAAGCACGTGACTTTTGTAGTGCATGGGATCGGGGCAAAACTGAACTCGCAGAATATATTTGACAACATTAACCGGTATCTCATTTGGACACTCCCCCCTCCAGTTTGATCATTCCTCCCTCTCCTCTCACAATTGTCAATTTTATAGTCTGGCTCACTTTGATTTGAACAAGTTCGAATTGCTTTCAGTACTGAATCATAACGTCGAATATAACCTGGGTTCAATTTCATTCATTAAACTCGTATCAACCATCAGTTCGCTTTCACAAAAATTACTTCTAAAATTTGGAATTAATTTTTTGAATTTTTTGTCACATTTAATAGATTTTTTCTATGGCTTGAATTGATGATATTTTTGCAAATTTTGTTGTTCAGACATTGAAAAAGTGGTAAAGTTTTGTATTCTGGTGTATTGAAAATTGGAAGGAACTTTGTATTCGGGTGTGTTTTAGTTTTTTCTTTTTTTGTTTTGCACGCAAAATCGGATAACACAAATATTCATCAGAATAGGGTAAGTGATATATCATGTTAAAGCCTTTGCAGTCGTGATTCGAACGGCATTTAAAAATTTTCTCGGTGTCGAGAAAAGCTGGCCTAAAGTTTTGGAGATTTTGTCTGATTTCGAGCGAATAAAGCTATCGAGCAGGCTTACATTAGCTTCTTTCTTAATTTCAGCCGTGAAATTCTAATTTTACTTGAAATTTTAGGAGTTTTTTCAGCTCCCTTTACTGAATCCAAACTTTCTGCAAAAAAAGTTTGAAAAATTTTTTATGACGTTTTCCAGCCACTTTTTCTACAAAAAATGGTGTCCAGTTTGCCTTTTATACTATGATTGTCCAGTATGCCTAAATTTTAGTTTTTTTGTTCAGATACTGTCATCACACCACGCAGAAAAAACAACACTATTTTACCGTTGATCTTAGCTTTCGAGTAAAGCTTAGATAGACAAATGATTATCAGTTTGTTTATTTTTTCAAATTTTACTTGAGAGTGAGGGTGCAAGCTTCCTAGTCAGAAAATTTCGGAAACATTAACAAGTAATATGTAAGGATGTGTGAGCAACTTTTTTTTATAAATTGGTGGAGTGGCTCGTGTAATGCAATTTTCTTTTTTGAACAAATGATGCTGGGAGTCTCAAATCACTCACAATTTTAGCTGGTACTTCAAACACTGATGATTAAATCTATTGCGAAAATTGGTGTACTGGAAGTTTATTGTCAGAAAGTTTTGCTCTTTCGAGACAAAAAAAATTTGCTGCCCTCTTAATTGAAGTTGGTGGCCAAGTGTCTTAAGTTTCATAATCTCTATCGAAATTTTGCCAATTCCGAGTTATTGGAAGACCATCGCGATCTGTGCTTGCTGCTTAAAGGCGGACAGGCAACGCCTCGCTTTTTTTGAAAAATCCAAATTTGCATAAAGGTCTAAGTTGTGTGCTAGAGGGGATGTTCGTCAAGGACTTAATAAACGTGTATGTTGGTCCTTTTGCTGACGAATGTATTTTATCAAAGAGGAATTATACTTTTTTCGGGTTAATATTTTGTTTAATAAGAGCATTTGCTAGTTTCTTAAGAATCGATGAACGTAGCTCAGACTCTTTTATAGGTCGAGATGATTTCTTATGTTTATTTTTGAGGAGAGCTACCCTCTATTAGACTATTAATATTTGGTTTTAAAGACATACCAATGTAATCCGGTTCTGAAAATGCCAGTTTTCCTTATCTGCCTTAATTTTTGCATCGTAGTGAATTCTTTCTCAGATAAGTGGATTGAAAAATTTGTTCATGCGACGTAAAACATTCTCAGCGAGAAAGTGTACAACAATCAGTGTTAAAAATTTACTAAATTCGGAAGCTTCTTATTTGTTCACGCGAAGTAAAAAACTTAGTGCAGATGAAGAAAACTGGCGCTTTCAGACCTGGAGTACATTAGTAAGTCTTTGAAACCAAATATTGATAGTCTAATGGAGGATAGCTCGGATCACTTGCTCTAAGTCTATGTAAAAGTCTTACCGAATTTCGAAGAAAATATTGTCCAAAATGGATATTGACAACAGGCATTTTAGAGAGTAACATCTTCAATTTGCGCTTAATTTTGTCCACTACTGTAGAAGCAAGGAAAACTCCACTATCCAACAGCAAAAGTCACGAAAAACGTGATTGACTTCTAACTTCGAAAATGGAATTTAATTATTGAATTTCCCAGCATTATGAAAATTTTATCGATTGATCCAGTTTTCTCAAATTAGGTTAATTTTATTAAAAAAGTGTGAATCATAAAATTCTCTAAAAATTTCAACGAGCTTTAAGGCCATTTTTTTTCTTTGAAGTTCAAAAGTTTCAATATGTTTTTTTCTTTTCACTTGCGCTCATTGACTGTTTAATTTTCTGTCTGCTGGCTAGGTTTCTTAAATAAATTCAAATTTCTTGGTTTCTACCGCACACTTGATCCAGAAGTACCGAGTACGCCTGATTTGGCAATGATCCTAGTCTCAATGATGGTTTTTAAAAAGCTAACTGTTCAGCCCAGCAGTCAGACGGGAGTGTTGCGAGGGGCTACTGCGAGAATGCCTCAGTGACTGACCAAGTACCTCCAGTGGACCATGTGCTGTTCCTCGTGCATGGCATCGCCCAGAGAACGACTGCAGAGATAAACATCGAAGCCATAGCTAAGAACCAAGTGCACCACATGTGCACGTCGTAAGTTTATTACACATAGTGAGTGCTAAATTGTTGGTAATGTCCATTTTGTTTTCTAAAATTGGCCTATGACCAATGAAACAATAGCTCATTTTAAGTTGTTTTTTTTATTAAACGTAGTATCAAATAATTCAATTGAAATGAATATTTTTGCTGAGTGATTGAAAAGCTCAAAAGTCACTACATAGCCAACATTTTGACTTTGTTTTTTCTAAAAACGTAGTGCCAAAAAACGTAGGTCATAAGGCCAAAGCAATTGACTCATTTGGTTGAAGCTCTTCAAATCCTGTTGGCGGGTATTTTTGTTGCTGCGTTTTTAAGAGTCGATGAACGTAGTTCAGACTCTTTGATAGACCCTGATGATTTTTTTTTCGTTTTAAAGTCTCTTAAAGGTTGTTCAGCCTCAAGTTTACTTTCCGCTGTTTGACTTCTGATTTCCTTTCAGGTTCAATTCATTTAATTTCCTAAAAGGAAGGCAAACTCATCTATTGAACAGCAAGGGTGTAAAGGTCACAAAAAACGTGATCGACCTCTAATTTCTTTTTACCCTTCCAACTGTCTGTTGGTTATGTTTGTTTGTGATGCTGGTGTTTTTGATTGAAGTGCTGCTTTGCCTCAGAGTTATTTCTCTATTTGAGTCTCAAACTTCAGAAGTTGAATATCACTTGCTTGACCCGAGTGTTGTTTATAGAGCAGCGTTCATGGTACTTTTACCGCTATTCTCTAATTTTTTTGCATAAATCGATGTTCAAGCTTCAAAATACCTCTTTGATAGAAACACTTACAATGATTTTTTTTGAACACGCATATATGGTTAATACTTTAGTTGTATTGTTATTATTACGAAAAAGAACAGGATATTTATTTTAAAAAATTTTAAAATGATTTTCGAATTTATAATTTTTTCCACCTTTTTTAAAATTTTTTAGTCCAAGTTTTACAGTTGGATCAGTGTGTGTTGTTTGCGCATCAACTTGATATTCTTATTTTAATAAGATTTGCTGTTCTGAAACAAGGTGTTTGGTTCATTTTTTCATATTTCAGACGTTTTTATATTTCGTGTTTGTTGCGCCATTATTTTGTTTTAGTTATTTTGTTGGTTAATTATTTTTTTTCTAGACCAGTTTTCGAAGAAAGTTTTCAATCAAGTGTTCTCTCGCGATTTGTTTTGTGTTGAGATTACTGAAGTTGGTTTTCAAAGCAGGCTCGAAGTGATGCTTTCAAATAATAGATTTGTGCGATTTCTTTTCAACAATATACGACAAGATAATGATCTGGCTCGCAAAATCAATTACATATTAAAGTCCCTTCAATTGTTTTTCAACGATATATACAAATTCTTATAATTTGTCGAGAAATACCTGTTTCAAAAGTTTTTCAACTTTTTGGAAAAGAAATGTTTGCGTTTTATCAATAATTTGCAAAGATAACTGTATTCGACTGAAGTTATCGCTTTTTTGAAGCTTAGTTTTGCCCCTCTACCGTCTCCGTACACACTTAAAAAAGTACGCAAATCGAGTAAAAAGATTGAAAAAGCCATTTGTCTTGAAGAATACAATTGTTTTTAATGGTACTTGCACATGAACCGGCTATATTTATTATAAATGCATATTTTCTTGATGTCTCAAGATTTATCCGATGAATTGTGCGAAAAATTATTTGATACAAAGAACCAAGAATCCGAGATAAGGTGTACTCGAAAAAGGCAAACTTGAAACACGAATACAGCACTGAATAATCTGAATAAAACACATTAGACTGAAAATTTAAAACGAGTTTTTGTGAAATTATGTTGAGTTATAGGTAAAAAATGTTTTATGACTTGACGATAAAAAATGATGATAGAACTTACTTAAACTTCCAGCAAAATTAATTTATGGAAATTTGTTTTGCGAAATTCGGACCCAAAACCGATCTTTTTCGGCTTTTTAGTCAACCAAGATTACGCCAAAACTACCGAATCAATTACTGTCAAATTTATACCAAAGTGAGTCTCTTATTTAGTCAAATAAAATTTAAAAGGTTTTAATCTCTAAAAGATTGTAAAAATAGTTTATTTTTATTTGACATTACTGAAAGAAATACCATTTTTTATTTGAAAACAATTTCAAAACGTTTTGAACACATTGTTGGAAACTAAACTATATTCCAGTGGAATTGTGTTGGGCTACATAAGAGGCCCACATTGATATAAATTTGTCAGTAATTGATCAGGTGTTTTTGGCGTAATGTTTGCTTGACTAGAAAAGCCAAAATTTTGGGTCAAAATTTTAGTCCTGAATTTGGCAAAACGAATGGCACCATATTAAACCTAATTAACTTCTAAGCAAGTTGTGTCTTCATCTTTTTCCATCTAAACTTAGCCTAATTTGAGAAAAACGCGTTTTAGTTTTCAAGTTTTGTCCATCAGCTTTGTGTTACCTGGAAAAGTAAATAGCTTCCATGTGCTATTTTTTCCGAAATAAGTTAGTTGTTCTCTTTAATTAATTTTATCTATTCGTTTTTTTGCAATAAGTTATTTTATAGATGGGTGCAATCATTAACCTTAATGTCAAATTTAGCTCAAGCCGTTCGAATCATTGAACCAGTTAAGTAATGAAAGAGAAAATTCAGCGAGTTGTTCATGATTCCCGAAGTCACACTGATAGTCATGGAAAAAGTTAGCAGGCTCAAAGTACAATTCTATATTCAGTAATAGTAACTGATTCCAATTAATAGGGTAACGATTGCAAACACCCCGAAAACTAAAAACGAACACGTTAAGAACATAAGCATGATTACATAGTTTCGATCAGTTTGCCGGCGCGTTTTTTTCCGGCTTGTTTCGATAATCGGTCTGTTTTTGCTCCGTGGTTTTTTTAAAAAAATTATGTCGTCGTGATTAGGAGAGCAAATAAAAATGATGTAAGAAAAACTGAGGCGTCATTAAGTATATATTTTTCCTTTTCGTCAAATAAGACAAAATACATTAATGACCAACAGACGAATATGAATTCTGTTTCTCTATTTTGACGCGTTGATTTTTTGATATTTTTTGAAGCTTGTTGTTCCAGTCAGTTTCAAAGCTTAGCTCAAATTATTTTCTTGCATTGCGAAAAAAGATCTGGAAGAAAAATACAGATTTTCTGATCATAAAAGTTTCAATAGCAAGATTTTCTATTAGAAAGAGTTTTTCAATGAACCAGTATGTTCTATGATTTTCTACAATTGCAAATAATTCTAAAGTAATAGTTTTTTAATCGTTTCTGGAAGCTTGCTTAACACTGCCTTGATTAATGCCATCTCAACAGTATGTTGTTTAATTTTTCGGTCAGAAAAATAAGCTGACTGAAAGTTCTTTGAGTCATTAGTTCAGATCTCACGCATTTCTATCGCAGTTGAAATTTAGTCGATATGTCGAATAAATTATTAAATAAATATCCTTAAAATCTGACTTTATCATTGGCTAAAGTATTATGGTTTAAAAATTTCAAACGCTAGGGTCAAAAAAGAGTTTTTTGCCGTTTCTTTGAGTGTTTTCCAAGAGTGGTTTGAATCTGTGTTTAAAACTTACATTTGCTTTGGGCATGCTGACTCCGAGACTTTTCGTAACAGTATCAACAGCATGCGTTGTCAATCTTGGAAAAACAGCCAAAGTTGAGAACTATGTTGTTCTTATACATCCTTGGAATGAATGAAGGTTCCATATCTGTCACTGTCCCATTTGATTGAGATGTATTGTTGTGCTAAATAAATTGGCGAAATTGGTCTACACACATGCTGGTATGTTCTCATTTAGAAGACAATTTTTTTAAAGTAGAAATATGTTTTTAAAACTTTCATGAATGAAAGTTTGAATTTCTTCGTTTTTAACCGCGCAAGAGGAAAAATGTTTATAGATTTTATGATTATTTTTAAAACGGAGCCTACTAAAATGTCTATGATAATACATTTTTGCACGCAAGCAGCATGTAGGGGATTTTTCTGAGATCTAAATTCTCTTTAATTTTTTCTTAGGTTTTTGTGGCATATGCTTTTTTCCTGCTTTAATTAGTATCCTTCTGAAAAAGTCAGTAATTCAATAATTTTAGTGAAGATGACTTAGAGTTGCTATACTGTTGAGTTTTTTTTTCAAGAAAATTACAATATAATGTTATAATGTCTAAAGCTCACAGAGAACATTTTTTTGGCAGAGTTATCCATTATTTTTCATTCCTCTTGTTGGGGGGATGGAAAAGAGCTAAGTAATGAATTTGAAATCTACCTTTATATTGTTTTTTACTTAAGTGAAGATTGTGTGATGATAGACGTTCAGTTTTTTTAATTCAAGTCATACAATTTTGTGTTACATTTCTGTGTTGAGCTTCGCAATTCTATAATTTTTTGAATATAAAGTTCATCGAAGTTTGGCCTTACATTGGTTAGAGTATTATTGTTAGAGTATTATTGTTTTCAAATGATAGAGGTCAGAAAAAAGTTTTTTTGCTTGCGTTTTTGAGTATTTTCCAAGAGTGGTTTGCCGCTGTGGTCGAAACTTACATTGATGTTGGGTGTGATGACTCCAAGACTTTTCGTAATAGTATCAACAGCATACGTGGTCAATCGTTGTAAGTCAAACAGCGCCAGAAACTGCATGAAGTACATGTTATTTCATGCAGGTAGGAAACCGGATGTTATGTAACAGAGGAAGTTTCCAACCAGCCCGAAAAACGGCAGGCTGATGTCAAATCTTAGAACAATGTTGTTCACATACATCCACGGAATGAATGACGGTTCCATATCTGTCACTGTCCCATTTGATTGAGATGTATTGTTGTGCTAAATAAATTGGCGAAATTGGTCTACACACATGCTGGTATGTTCTCATTTAGAAGACAATTTTTTTTAAGTAGAAAAATGTTTTGTTGAAATTTCCTGATCATCTGAAATACGTCGATGGCCTGCTTGAAAATTTGAAGTGATATTTCTTCTGTGATTGTGTGCTCCGTGAAGTTATAGGGTTGTGAAAGTTCGCAGAATGGCCAATTTATGATGTTTATCCGCTTTATATACTTTCAAAAGTTTTGATTAACCTGTAGATTGCTGTTAGTCTTTTTTTTTAAACCATTGATTTTAAATTGCGTTATCTGACTCAAAAATGTAATTTTTGTTTAGTTTAATTCAGCTGAACAAATATCTTAAGAACTCATAAGCTTCAAAACCTTTGACGTTTACTTTTAGCTCGAATAACTAATTTCATGAATCGAAAAACCGATCAGCAATTGTTTTGTTGATTTTGAAACTCGTAGAATAGATGGGTTGGTAACTATGGCACTATCGTTTGCTTCCAGTATTCCTCGTCTAGGTCGCTTGGAATAGATTTGTACCGCGTTTTTCCTTTTTCGTAGACCTGATTCAATTGGGGGGCTTTTGTTTTTAGAGCCTTTGTTAAAAAACGTTCGGTGTTATCTTCAATTGAAGTCAACTTAATTTCCATCAAAATTCCATCATTGACTCACAAATTGTTTTTTGGCGGGATAGCTACACACCTGTCATGAAAATGGGGGAATTCTATATTAGATTGTTCAATCATGAACAGAACCATCGTATTGGTCATCAGTTGAATCCATTTCACTTCCATTTTATCATTTATTTGGCTCTTTTTCTCTCCTTTGATTTGTTCGGAAATTCAATATTTGAAAACCTATTTAAAATGACTTTTCATGTAGTAAAATGCATTAACAGGTGACCACATTCAACATTTCCTACATGCAAAATGTCGTAAGAACAGTTTTTGAGCTGCTACATTTTGAAATTTACCAGGGGATGGGAAACTGGAAAAGAGCTATTTAATTTATCATATGTAATTTTACCAATTAACTGTCATTTTATCTTCAACCATTGTTACAAGCTTTTGATTGCTAATTTAAAAAAAATACTTTTCTACAGTCAAGGGACATAGATGTTGCAATTTTGAGTTTTCAAACGATTAAAGGAACTAGTTATTTTCCATTTCTGTGCCTTTCTCTCTACAACAACTAAAGATTCACTAAAAAAGTTGTTTTTAGGCGCTGTATGGCCATTAAATCCGAGGGCGTCAGAGGGGTGGTCTTAGTGCCAATAGTTTATAAGTAAAGAGCAGAATCAGTTTGAAACTTTGGACTTAAAATAAAAGTGTTCATTGGAAAGCTAAGAATCTATCTAAGCTAAGCCCTCTTCTTTACACATGAAAAATAAATCAAAATTTTGTTAAGCTCTCAGACATAAGTTGACTGAAAATTCAGTAGTTTGTTTTGTAAAATGCCAAATTTTGAGTCAATTTTTTTTTCTTGCTGAGTGGTTTTTTGAATCCTTTCCTACGTAAAAGAAAACCGATATATAGTTTAGATTCTTAGCTTCCCGATGAACAAATTGAAGTCCAAAGTTTCGAACTGCTTTGTTGTTTGCGAGAATTCTTTTGACACTAAGAGCACCTCTCTGACGCCCTCGGATTAAATGGCCAAACGATGGCCTAAAAGCAACTGCTTACGTTTTTTATCCGAGTTTATTCCTGAAAAATAGTTTTATCCATTTTATCCATAATATTCGTAGAGTAAACGACCAACTGATTTTTTTTGCGGTTTGACTTTTGGTGTATTTTTTAGTTCCTTTCCTTTGTATAAAGGAAGGCAAACTCTACTATCAAACAGCAAAATTTTAAGGTAACGGAAAACGTGATCAACTGCTCATTTCGAAAATGGAATTTAATTATCAGATTTTCCAGCGACATATAAATTTTACCTATTGATCCAGTTTTCTCAGATTGGGTTGATTTTATTGAAAAAGCACCAATGATAAATTGATCGTGAAAGTTATGGAGCTTTAAGGGCATATATTTAATTCTTTGATATTTGAAACTTGAAGTTTTTCTCAAAAAATGAGTCGGTTTTTTTTCAGCATTTTTTCTCTTTCCTTGCGGTCTGTTTCCTTGCATTTCCAACTATGAGTTAGTTGTTATGTTTATCTGAACCATTTTTGTTGCTTTAAGTTTTTCAGTTTATTTTCGGTGATTTTATTTGATTTTTTTTTCAAGTTTTAAATGAATTCAATGTATGGGATTCTAATTCAAAGGCCTTGTTATTAAGAATAATTGAGGTACTGAATGCTCTTTTATAGGTCTTGATGTATTTTTCGTTATTTTTTTTTTCATGAAAAGTCTTTAAGTTTGGTTCACGCTCGAGTTTGATTTTTCGCTGTTTTATGATTTCTTAAGTTCAATAATTGTTGTTAAAAGGAAGGCAAACTCCTCTGTCAAACCGCAAAAGTGTAAAGGTCTCGAAAATTGTGATCGACTTCTAATTTCGAGCGTGGAGTTTTAAAAACAGATTTCGCAACGGATTCAAAAAATTTCTTTTGATCCAGTTTTCTCAATTTGGGTGATTTTTATCAAAATAAATATTGTTTGTGAATTTCATCAGGTCTAAGGCCATAATTTTTTTTGATTAAGTCACAGTTTTTTTCTTTTTCTCTGCGTTCATGTTCATGACTCTTTTTCAACTGAATGTTAGCGATGATAATAAAATATAACATAATACAATGAAATTTGAAACAGGTGTTTCTTATTTAAGTTGTTTGTACTTTCAAGACGTTTTCACGAAAGAGTACATTTGGTCTTGTTTTCAGATTCTTTTGGAAATGTTTCGTACATTGTTTTGACTCCTGTTAAAGATAATACCATTTTTTTTTCATTATTCGAAAAATATAATAGTAAACAGTAAGATTTTGAATTTTTCTGTGTAATGAATTTAATAAAGTGCTTTCTACAGATTGCATATTGTTTAAAAATTGTTTTTAAATAAAAAGTTGGTATTTTATATTGTAAAAATGACCTTTTTGTCTATCAAACAAAAATAAATTAACTTATACAATATTTTGGAGATTATACCCTTTTTAAAGTTTGTTGGGCTACGTAAGGGGCTCACTGAGATATAATTATGTCTGTGATCGACGGGTATTTTGGCGTAATTTTTGATTAACTAAGAAAAGCCAAAATGACCCATTTTTGGGGTAAAATTTCGGACCCGAATTTCGCAAAACAAATTACACCATATCAATTCTGCTAAAATTCTAAGCAAGTTCTGTCTTCATAAGTTTTCAGCTAAACTCAACCCAATTTGAGAAAACCGCGTTTTAAATTTCAAGTTTAATTTTAAAAAGTCCGGTTAATTTAAATCAGCACTGTAAAATTTATGATTCACGCTCAAGCATATATTCTAAATTTTTTGGTGGGGTTGGGAGACAGTAAAAAGCCGACTGATTAACATTAAATTGTTTTTTAATAATGAAATTGGGCTAACTTACTGATTCTTTTGTCTTTCTTTTCAGCACTCGCAACCTGGTGGCCAAATACCAGAAGGAACTCTACCCCAACTTCTCATCCAACAGAGTCGAGTTTCTCCCTATCGAGTGGAGGTCCAAAATAAAGCTGGACGAAGGTAGGAGATTCATGTTAACGCAAATTGTTTGCATCGTTTCTGCACTATATCAACTGTCTTTAATTATATTAATTCAATAGTTGAAATTGTACAGAAAAGAGACCAAGAATTTGCATTTTTTTCAAAGAATGAAACAAACTACTACTTTTCTCGCGTTTCTGATGTTTGTCTGCAGCTACATGTTTTGAAGATCCATGGACGAAACTTTGAAAGGTGCTAGTTGAAATATCAGCTATAGACTTAATCATTTTTTGACATTTTGACACATTTTGAAAATTACACATTGCGTTTCGCATCAGTCGTTTGAATTTTTTAAAAATCAAACAAGTAACTCTTGATTTAGCTGGGTTCCTAGTGTTTAACAGGCGCAGATGTTAGGATGTGTGACTTTTAATCTCTAGGTTGTGAGTTTCATTTCGGCTCCTAGCAGAATTTTAATTAGTTTTACCTTTTCTTTTTTCCTTATATTTTGACCCTGTTAGAGCTAATTTTTGACCTTTTCTCGCTTGTGTGAGCCTTGCGTCTTAAGTAGTTGCAGAACGAACGCGAAAAGGCTTCAATAATTGTTCATTAGCGCAGTTGAAATCAAAAAGTTGCCAACTCGTTCACCGTGGCTAGGCTAGGTTGGTTTGTAGGAATTGAAAAGTTAATCGTAAAAATTTATTTAGTTTCGAAAAGGTAAAAGTCGAAATTGTTGATCCTGTTATTACACTTGCAATTAAGAAAAAGTTTTATAATCGGGTTGTAGAGTTTTTGTAACGAAGTTCACACAAAAGATGTCACGTTGGCTATGATAAATTCAAACCAATTGATGGTTCTTACGCTATGGGGTACGTTATGGTGTACGCCTCTGTGTACGTTACCTCTAGAACTAGCCTATAGCGCAAGAACCATCATTTGTTTTGAATTCAGGTAATTAGCCATCTGACCAACCAAAGGGTCCCCCTTTGGTATTATTTTGTGACATCCACCTTTGGTGTTATTTATTAATTTTTCCGTCCATAACTACGTTTTTTATATGTTTGAGTTGTTTCTTTGCTTTACAGACTGTATTTTTGTGGAAAGCACACAAGTCTTTTGAAATGACAGACTATGTTTAATTAAGCCTGAAGCGCTATGAAACGAAAAATGTTTCAACAAAGGTTTAGTGCGTTTCAACTCTAAATTTAAGTACTTATCGTTTTGTGGTTTCATTTTTAATTATATTTTGGTTATTTTTGAGAGAACAGACTTTATAGTTTTAGTTTTGTTTTTTAAAGTTTTGTCTTTTAATTTTGGTATTAGTTTGGTATTCTAATTGTACATCAAATCATCTGTTCTTTGAAAACATTAATGATTTTTCATGCTTTCATTTGTAATGTTTTCCAAATCTTCCTGTCTTTTTTACGTTATTTTCAATTTTTTTGATTTGATAATTGAGCTCTTCTGAAATAAAATGGGCAAATTTTTCATCGTTGTAGTTGTTCAAATTAAGGTTTTTTCGTGTAATGTTTTTCTTGTTTCGTTTCTTTCAATGATTTGTAAGGCAGTATAACGTAAAGGTATGTTTTTTTTTCAGGTTTTTGGCTGAAATTTTTTTGTAGTTTTTTTGATCTACTGTTTCAGAGTCCTTGAGCGTAGTTCGGACTCTTATATAGGTCGTGATGATTTGTTTTTGTCTTTTTTTCCGGAAAAAACTTAAAATGCTTTTGTTTTACAGAAGTGCTTTATATTATATTTATGCTTTTATGAATTCTTCTGCGTATATTTGCTTAATTAGAGTTCAATTAAATTTCATCTGCTAAAAGATAGTTAAGTTGCTCTCTGCAATTATGAAGGTGTAAAGAGCAGGATATGAAAAACGTGTCGACCTTTAATTTCAGATTTTCCAGCGAAAAAAAATTTTCCCTATTGATCCAGTTTTTTCAAATTGAGTTAATTCTATCAAAAAAATTTCCTTCATAAATTGTTCCTGAAATTCAATTAGCTGTACAATCATGTTTTTGTACTTTGAAGTAGTTAAATTGATTTTTTTTTTTAAAAAATCAATTTTTCTTTTACGTTTCCTTGCTTTTTTACTCTTTTCCAACTGTCTGCTGGCTATGTTTGACAATGGCAGCTTTCTTTTTATTATGTTTTCTTCACTTTGAACTTGACATGAGACAAACGTATATTTTGTTCGTTTTATTTTCTCGATTTTTTTTCCTGCTCAGTTGCTTTCGTTTCAATCTCTTCCCCCAAGCTTCCGTGCTATTTTTGTGTTGCGTCACTTTTGGTACGAAGCTCCACGTTACTTCTGCGTGTTAATGCAATTTCTTAATTCGAGTTCTACCAAATAACCTAGCTGCAGAAACTAGCTGTATTAAGTCGTAAGCTTAACTTTGACGACATCGTACAGCGACGTTTCAATTTGCTACATGTCTTCTCCTAACCTCATCACTTCTTAAAGCTTCATTTCATCAATTCTGGGCAATTCATTTTTTGGAAGTTAGACAGATCGCTTGTGACAGACTTGCACGACTAGTGGAAATGCTTCTTATGGAATAACCCATTATAAAACTCGACAGAACTTAACCATCTGAACTCCACTTGAACTTTTATATAAAAAAGCTTATTGATAAGCTTCAAGCTCGGTTAGTTCAGATGGTTATGTCCTGTGGAGTTAAATACATTTTTTTTTCGTCAGAAGCATTTCAACAACTATTCGTAAAATTCCGTCAAATTTTGTCTGATTTCCAAGAAGTCTGACTTCAAGAAGGCACATTATAATTAAAAACAATCGAAAACAAAAATAGACGTCTTACAAGGTTCCCCCTTTTTAACCCCCATTTTTAAGAAAATTGACTTCTCCAGAACTCTCAGCATTTTGGGGTCGCCGCACAAAATGATTCGCTCATGATAATTTGATCCACTGTCATACCGGATAAAATTTTCAAAAATTTCAGGGATCTCGAAATTTCTCGCAACGGGGATGGGCGGCATATTTACATCTAGCTGCTTACGAGTGCGCGCAGCCGTTCAAATCAGTTTGTCCTTACTTGGGAGGGCAAACTGAATGGCCAAATCGTTTGTAACTGGCAAAACCGCACTGGCAACTGCAACATTTGGGGTAAATCTCTCGCTGAGATCTTTTATATGCTTTATGACATTTCGGGCCTCCGATTTTCCCGCTGAAATATCATGGTTTTGCTCTCCACGCGTTTCGATTAATTCGTTGTTTTCAGTAATGGCAGTTGCTCGACATTTATGTGTTTCATATTTTGAGCAAATCCAGTTTCCTGTAAAAATATTTTTTCGCTTGAAATATAATTCGTGGCCGGACGCTATAAGAATTGGCTGTGATCATAATGGTTTAGCGAAAAGTCTAATTAAAAATAAATCACAAACTTGTTGATAAGAGTCTTAAATAATTTAGGAAGCCTCCTTTTAGCATTTATAACTAAGATAAACCAAGTTTTTCATTATGCTGCGTGCGTTAATTGCAGGATTAACTTTGGTGTGATAAGAGTTAAAATAAGGAATTCATACAGCAATAATGTTAATAGTGAAATGACTAGGTGTTAAAATGTAGTGTTTAACTGGAAATTAGGAGTTATATTGTTGTCGATTCAAGTTGTTTGCTAGTGAAATGACTAAGTGTTAAAATGTACGGTGTTAAATTGTATGTCATTAAATTTTAGGGTACCTCTTACAACGCCTGTATGACGTCGTTTTGTAAAATACTGTCAAATGTTGTTTTCCAAGAAGTCAAATTGTTCAGAATTATTGTGAGGTTTCCAGAAAGCACATTATAATTACAGTTGCGAGCATTAGTGTTTTAGTTCGAACCTTCTTTTTTTCTAATCTAACTCGCAAATAAAAAGGTTCATTAAAAGTGTTCACATATTTGGAAATTTCACTGTAGCATTGAAAATTGCAGAAAAACTGTTTTCTGCTTTATTTGCGGTTGGTGTTTGATTTAATAGGCGTCCGTGGTCGAGTAGTTAGTGTGTGAGACTCGTAATTTCTAGCTAGCAGGTTCAAACTGAGACGTGGCCGAGTGTTTACTAGTTCGAGGTTTTTTCCACTTTTTCTTATTGCACTTTAGAGCTGTTTTTTTTGTCGTGTTCTCGCTAGTGTTTGCGAAGCGAAGCATCGTTTCTGTGCCAAAAATTTCCCAAACAAAAAAGACGTCTTTGCAACGCCTGTAAGATAGCATTGAACAAGCATCTTCTCTTACAGGTGTGCTGGACTCTGTGACGTTGCGGAAGATGCGTCGGATTCGGGAGCTGGGAAATGCGAGTGTGTTGGATGTCCTTTTCTACACCTCCCCCCTCTACACAGAAGAGATCTTGGATACTGTTGTGAAAGAGATACATCGACAGTACAATCTATTCATCGGTATGCACATCTTTGGCTCTTTTTTGATTTCCCTTCGTCCATGTAAAATTACAAAATGAAGCTGTTCAAAAATTGTTTGCATGGCATTTTTCGATCCTATGTTACGATGTGATTAAACAGATTTTCTGAAATTGTATCGATTTTTTTATGAAAATGTGAAAATCTTCAGAAGGGTTTGGGCCAAAGTTTTTGTTCTTTGACGAAGCTTTTGAAATTTATTTAAAACTCAATTGGAGAGCATGGCAAAAACTTTATTTTCAAGGCTTATTTTAGCCTTTTCTTTGTTTTCTTTACTGTTTCGAGCCAATTATTGGCGTTTTGTCGCTTGTTTGCGAGGTACAGCTTCGCCTCTGTGTAAAAACTTGATTGTGTTTTTCCTCTTGATAGAGTACAACCCTGAGTTTGTGAAAAATGGCGGGAAAGTGTCTTTAATTGGCCACTCGTTGGGATCCGTCATCTGTTACGACATCTTGAGGAACTACAGGACTATGGACGACTTCGTGGCCAATCTGCAAAATGAGGTGGCGAACATTTTGATTTGATTTATATGACCTTTTTTCTCTAAACACTGCCTTGCATGGAATTCAGCACCATAGTGTAACCATTGGTCTTCCAAGGTTGCGTTATCTTAAGAGTATGACAAGCAGTGCACATTGAAAACAACAAGTGACCAAAAGTTTTACTAGCAGTTGCATCGGGTGGGGGGATAAGGTACGGGAGGTGGTACGGTACGAGACACATAGCTAAGACACATACAAGTTATAGCCATTGGGAGCTTGTTGTGTCGTTTTGTCAAATAACGATGTTTTAGGACTCCTTACAGTCTTGTTTCTTTTTCAACATGAATTTCTGAATAAATCAATATAAATTCTTGCTAAAAAATAAAGTTCAGACTCTTATATAGGTCGCGATTTTTTTTTCGTTTTTTTTTCAGGAAGTCTTTAAAATTTTGTTCAGGCTCAAATTTACTGTGTAAATTTACTGAGCAAAAGTGTAAAGGTCAAGAAAAATGTGATCAAATTCAAGTTTCGAAAATAGAATTTAGTTTCAGATTTCCCAGCAGAATAAGAATTTTACCTATTGATCCAGTTTTTTCAAATTGGCTCAATTTTGTCGACATTGTCAATCATCAATTGTTCCAGAAATTCTATGAGTCTTAAGGCGATCTATTTTGGAAAATTGAATGTTTTTTTTTGTGTATTTGCGTTTATTGAATCTTTCCGAAGTGTCTCTTAGCTATGTTCTATTTCCAAACTAGGCTATATTTCCAAACTAGACTATAGTCAGAATGTTTTTGTGTATTTGCGTTTATTGAATCTTTTCGAAGTGTCTCTTAGCTATGTTCTATTTCCAAACTAGCTATATTTACCTCGATTTTATTGAAATGATCGTTATTTTTGTTCATATAATTTCAGGCAATGGCAAACTCTTCCCAACCATCTCCGGAAGTGGCCAAGTATTTTGAGCTCAAAAAGCAGCTGCTACAGCTAGAACAGTCCATTGCCAAGCCCTACTACGATTCATTCGGACCGCGGAGCCTCCCGTTCAACGTAGAAAACTACTACGCAGTTGGATCTCCCCTCGGCTGTTTCCTGGCTCTGAGGGGAATCAAACCCTCCCAAAATGGATCAATTGAGAATCTGCTTCCGAAAAATGCGGCAAAGAGGTTTTACAACTTGTTCCATCCCTATGACCCTGTGGTAAGTTATTGGGCGAATCTAGGATTTTTCGAGGGGGGTATTCTATTTTTTTGTTCTAAATTTTTGTCGACCTTTTTTTAGTCCTACCAAATTGATTTTCCGAGCTCCCTCAAATCGCGATTAAAACCCTATTTTGAACAAATTTTCTGGAGGCAAATTTTGGAAAACACTTTTTGAGCGTTTTCAGGCTCTTTTTTGTGAGTTTTGACCATAAAATCGTGTTTTTTTTTTCCGAAAGGGTGACCCTTTTGGTACTCAGGGGGTCAAATCCGCGCCCCCCGTAAATCTGCTACGGATGAAAACATTCAGTGCTACTTGAGTGACTCTTAGTTTCCAAACAAGATTCTTACTCTTGCGAGCGTTTGTGTTTTCGTGCAACTCAACTTTTTTCTAACCGAATTCGCAATCAAAAGTGTTCATTAAAAGTATTCACTTATTTGGTGGCACTTTTGCTGTTATCATGATCTGTAGCCTAGGAAATTTCATAGCATCTGTTCTCTGCTTTATTTGTGGCTAGTGTTTGTGATTTATTAAGCTTCCGTGACCGTGTGGTTAGTGTGTGAGACTCATAATCTCTAGGTCACAGATCGAATCCGAAACGTAGCCGAATTTTTATTTATTCGAGGCTTATATCTAACTTTTTTTATTGCGCTTCATAGAGCTACCTTTTGTCGCGTTCTGGCTTTTCTTTGCAAAGCACAGCTTTCCCTCTGTGTTAATTTTTTTTATTTCAGTCGTTTTTTTTCTTCATTTTTCCCTGAATTAATTGCGACTCTTTTCCAACTTTCTGTTAGCATTGTTTTTAACTTTGTCGTAGGCGTTCCGATTGGAGCCCTTGTTGCTGCCCCATTACAAGCGAGTGAGGCCAGTGGGGGTGCACGTGCACAGTCAGAGTGAGATGCCAGCTTATGAGGACATGCAACAGACAGTGTACGAGGAGGACGATGACACCACTGAGATGCAGTCTATGGGACCCAACAATAGTAGCCAGGCCAACACTGGAAACGCATCTGGTGAGACAAAAAAAAACGAAAAACGGGTCCTTTCTAGGATTAAAAAAAATGATCCGGTCCCTCCTTGCTTTTTTGTGCCTTGCGTCCGGGGGGGGGGGGGGATGTCATCTTTTTTGCCGTGGTTGATTGATGTCATCTATTTTGCCGTAGCCGGTCTCTTTTTGAGGAGGCGGATTACTGGGATCCCTCTAACGTTGACCTAAGTTAGAGGCCACGCATCATATACCCTTTTCTATTAACCCGCTGGCCCAGCTCTCACCTTTCACCTTGGATCTTTTATTCCATCACTTTTGCCGCAGCCGGTCCCACCACCCTGCCCTGGCCGCCAACTGGGATCTTTTTCAGGGCCTCCCCGCTGTAGCCCCACCCAATCCTAATTATAATAAAGTTATAGGCATCCGCACTGTGATTTCATTATTGCACTGGGGTATAGTTTGCTGGAAACTAAATGGAAAAGAGCTTTTTCTGGTTATCTCATGCCCTGTAATATTGTCTTAAAATATCAACATCAGAATTGAAGGCAAGAAGTATTTATTTCAAATCTATTCACTTGTTCATACTGGCATGTCTTATGATCATTAAGTGGTTGATCATTTCGATAGTTCGTATTTTTTCAGGAGATGTTTTTCCTATTGGTTTTATAGGTCGTGGTCGTTTTTTTTGTTTTTTAAGCTAAAAACTTGTTAATTATAAAAATTTTGAATTCTTGAAATTGAAAAGGCTGCAATGTGATATTTTTTTCTTTAAATTTTGAAAAGTGTTCAAAAAATCATTTTTGTTTTGGTTTCTATCAGTTTATTACACAACTGCGATGAGCAATTTGCAAATAAAAGTGTTCATTGAAAGTGTTATAGTTGTTTACATGGAAATTTCACTGTAGCAGTGGAAAATTCGGATCTTTTCGGTACCCCCATTTGATTTTTTTTTCTGAAATTCAAAATAAGAAAAAAATGCGTCTTTTTAAAAATGAATTTTCTTGTTTTAAACTGCAGTAAAACCTGTCAGTTTTAACAAATGAACAAATTATAAAAACATTTACATGCAAAATGCCCTGTGAACATTTTTGAACATTTTTATTGTAAAGTTACAAGGGAGTGGTAAACTGGAAAAGAGCTGAAAATGCGTACTATCTGTTCTCTGCTTTTTTGTGGTTAGTGTTTGTCATCAATGAAGCGTCTGTGACGCAGGGGTTAGTGCGTCAGATTCACAATTTCTAGGTCACACTAGGTCTTAAGTTCGAATCCGAGACGTATCCGTTTTTTTCTAATGCGAGGATTATTTGTACTTATTCTTATTGCAATTTAAAGAGCTGTTTTTGTCCTATTCCTGCTAGTGTTTGCGAAGCGCAGCTTAGCCTATAAATTGTCTCTTGGTATCTTCTATCAACAACGGCAGTTTTGGGAGTCGAAAGTTAGACAAAGAATTTCTCGAGCATTTAAATTTCCGTGATTAATGCTATTCCAAGAGCCGAAATTTCCCTGGGGAAAATGTGTTCCGAGACCAAATTCTAATTCGATTCAAAACAAATCATTTAGAGTTCTAACCCGTCGTACAAAATATCAAACTGATTAAGTGTTAAAACTTTAAGATGGCCACTTTTAGGTTAATACAAATGAGCTTGCGAATGGCTCATTCAAGTGCTAAAGTGACGTGCAAGGATTATGGAAATGAACATTTTCAATGAACTATTTTTTGAAACGTTTTGAAGATATCGACAACCTAATATCAAACTTAAAAATATTTGACTCTTGTAATGTAAATGTTGCTCATTTTTGTGTTCTTGTATCTTAGCCTTGACGCATAAATGCTACCTAACTAAAAACGGCGCTTAATTTGAAGTTAAAAGCGCTCAAGTAATAATTTCAAATTTAATAAGCGTAGTGTATTACCACAGAGTTACTTTTTTCCAAACTAATTATCAAATACAAGGGCTCTTTTGGTGGCACTTTTGGTATACTTCAACTTAATTACAGTAGCATCAGCTTCGTATATTATCAAGAACCTTCTTTTTTTCAAATTAAGTCGCAATATTGGTGCCACTTTTTGGGTACTTTCACATTTTGTTAATAGCATGTGCTTTGACATTCGAATAGTAATTAGTTAACACAGTTGATTTGATGCATTTTTAATTCATCAATTGAACCGAAAAAAAGCTATTTGTTTCTAACAACATAACTCAATAAAAATTCGAATTCTGAAATATCTCACAATTTTCTTGAAATATCTAATTTAAACATAATTTGGCTTAAGGTTTTGCGATTTGTTACATGCAAAGTTGGTGTGGATGCCTTCAGTTTGTTATATTCCGAATTGTTATTTGCAAAATTGTGTCTATTTGTATTTGGTGCCACTTTTGCTGAATCGCATCGGCAATTTATTAGCATCTGTAGCTGCTTTGTTCGTGACTAGTGTTTTTCGGTGGTTGACCGTGCGTGGCTGAATGGTTAGTGCGTGAGACTCAAAACCTCTTGATTGCAGTAGGTCGCAGATCGAATCCTAGACCTAGCAAATTCGCTAATTCTAGTTTTTCTTATTGCATTTTCTAGAGCTGCTTTTTGTCGTGTTTTGCTAGTGTTTTGCTAGTCGTGTTTTGCTAGTTTTGCTAGTGTGTTTTGCTAGTCGCTTCTGTGTAATATTTCTGCCTATATAAGCATAGGGAAATTTGAAAAATTTTCCTGCGTTATGTTCGGCTAGTGTTAGTTTCTGTTTAAAAAATTATGATATTATGAAAATGTATGGGATTTGTTGCTTTTGGGATTTGCGAAGATTTTGAGCTTTTTTGAGCTTTTCGCGGCAATTTCAGTTTTTTTTCTCAAAAACTTTCGGACTTTGGTAAGGCACCGCCCCTGTAACTCTCAAAAACTTTCGGCCTTTGAAAGTTGCAGTGGAGGTGTTTTTGTTTGAACTTTTTCATCTTCTCAAATAGTAATTTCACATATTTGAGATAGTTTTGAATTAAAAGAAAAAATCATATGGATAGCGTTTCATAAGCGGCCATTCCCTAACTCTGTTAGAAAAAAATTTGGCCTCAAAAAAGCTAATTTTTTGACATTTCGGTTATTTTTTTCCAAACTTTCATGCCAAATCTAAGATTCAGGGTTCAATCGCAGGAGATAGTGGTAGAAATTTGTCTTGCATGAAAGCTTGCATAAAGTCCACTTTTTGAAAGCTATTTCCTTGTCAGTACATATGATTAAAAATTTTCAAACAGGTGCATCAAGCATTAGCTGGGCCGCTCGTTTACTTTCAAGCGACCGTGGAACGGATGCGAGGACGTGAGACTCCTAACCCACTGGTCAGAGATTCAGATCCGGATTATTGAATTAGTTTTATTGTTTGTTTGGTCGAACATTTGCTGAATAGCTTTGGCAGTTTGATAGCAACTATAGCTGTTTTTTGAGATACGAAGAAAGTAGTTCAGACTCCTATTTAGGTCATGATGATTTTCAGTTTTTTTTTCAAGAAAAGTCTTTAATTTTGTTTAGGCTCAATTTTACTTTTACGCGGTTAGACTTTTGAATTTTTTTGTGCTAACTCCACCACTATCGCTCAGCAAAATTGTAGAGATCACGGAAAATGTGATCTACTTTTATTTTCGAAAGTGGGTTCGAATTTTTAGATTTCCCAAGTAAATAAAAAATTTACTTTTTGATTCAGTTTTCTCTACGGGTTGATTTCCAAAAAAAGTCAATCACAAATTGTTCCAGAAATTCAAAGATCTTTAGGCCATCTTTTTTTTGAAATTCGGAAACAGATTCTTTTCAAAGTAAGTCAGTGTTTTTGTTTTGTTTTGTTAGTTCATTGACTCATTTCCAACTGTATGTTGACTATGTTATTGGTGGCTAAAGTTAGTAAAATTACAAGCGGTCGTGGTGGTTATGATACTCCTAGTCTCAGCTAAATTGTTTCGAGGTGGTTATTCATCTTTTGCTTATTTCACTTTGTTTTGCATTCCTAGAGCTCTTTTTTGCATTTTCCCGCTTGTTTGCGAAGCGCAGCCTCGCCTCTTTTCTAGACCTAATTCTCACAAATAAGTGACAGGCTTGGAAGCGCCTATTTTTATTTCTAATATTTCTGCCTATATAAGCATAGGGAAATTTAAAAAAATTGTCCTGCTTTTTGTTCGGCTAGTGTTAGTTTCTGTTTGAAAAATTATGATATTATGAAAATGTATGGGATTTGTTGCTTTTGGGATTTGCGAAGCTTTTGAGCTTTTTTGAGCTTTTCGCGGCAATTTCAGTTTTTTTTTTCTCAAAAACTTTCGGACTTTGGTAAGGCACCACCCCTGCAATTCTCAAAAACTTTCGGCCTTTGAAAGTTGCAGTGGAGGTGTTTTTGTTTGAACTTCTTCATCTTCTCAAATAGTAATTTCACATATTTTTGAATTAAAAGAAAAAAATCATATGGATAGCGTTTCATAAGCGGCCATTCCCTAACTCTGTTAGAAAAAAAATTGGCCTCAAAAAAGCTAATTTTTTGAAACTTTTCAAGTTTTCGTCAAACTTTCATGCCAAATCTAAGATTCAAGGTTCAATCGCAAGAGATAGTGGTAGAAATTTGCCTTGCATGAAAGCTTGTGTAAAGTCCAATTTTCGAAAGCTATTTCCTTGTCAGTACATATGATTGAAAATTTTTAAACAGGTGCATCAAGGATTAGCTGGGCCACTCGTTCACTTTCAAGCGACCGTGGAACGGATGCGAGGACGTGAGACTCCTAATCCAGTGGTCGGAGATTCAGATCCGGATTATTGAATTAGTTTTTTTGTTTGTTTGGTCGAACATTTGCTGAATAGCTTTGGCAGTTTGATAGCAACTATAGCTGTTTTTTGAGATACGAAGAAAGTAGTTCTGACTCCTATTTAGGTCATGATGATTTTCAGTTTTTTTTTTCAAGAAAAGTCTTTAATTTTGTTCTGGCTGAAATTTACTTTTACGCGGTTAGACTTTTGAATTTTTTTGTGCTAACTCCACCACTATCGCTCAGCAAAATTGTAGAGATCACGAAAAATGTGATCTACTTTTTTTTCGAAAGTGGGTTTGAATTTTCAGATTTCCCAAGTAAATAAAAAATTTACTTTTTGATCCAGTTTTCTCTACGGGTTGATTTTACAAAAAAAGTTTATCACAAATTGTTCCAGAAATTCAAAGATCTTTAAGGCCATCTTTTTTTTTGAAATTCGGAAACTGAGATTTTTTTTTAAAAGTAAGTCAGTATTTTTGTTTTGTTTTCTTAGTTCATTGACTCGTTTCCAACTGTATGTTGGCTATGTTATTGGTGGCTAAAGTTAGTAAAATTACAAGCGGTCGTGGTGGTTATGATACTCCTAGTCTCAGCTAAATTGTTTCAAGGTGGTTATTTATCTTTTGCTTATTTCACTTTGTTTTGCATTCCTAGAGCTCTTTTTTGCATTTTCCCGTTGTTTGCGAAGCGCAGCTTCGCCTCTTTTCTAGACCTAATTCTCACAAATAAGTGACAGGCTTGGAAGCGCCTATTTTTACAATTAGTTAATTTGCAAATACTGTAAGTAAGCTAAGATTCAGTCCTTGATATGTATGCTTCATTATTAGGAATTGTTTTTGTTTCTCAAAGTTTATTTACCTTTTTTTCATGTCTTAAAACTATAATTTTTTTGCTGTTTGTTGGTTGTGGTTGCAAGATACAGTTTGGTCTCTGTGTCAACGATTGTTTCCGTATTTCTAAATGTCTATGAATGAAATGAAGACTTTTTTTAGATCGTGCGTTATTTTTTCAGGAATTGTGCTGAAAGGAAAGTTTTTCGCGCTCAAGGTTGATTGTTTGGCTTTTGATTTTTGTAGTTCAATTCAATTTCACTCGCAATCTTATATGCTTTGTAATATCAAAATTATAAATTGCGCCGAATTACTTGGTTGAATTTCAGATTCATTGGTGGGTTTTAGTTAAAATATATCCCAGCGGAATAAAAAAATGAACCTATTGATTTAGGTTTCTCAAATTGTGTTAGTTGTATCAAATTTCTGTTGACTCATTTATAGTTAAGGTGATATATCTTTTCTCTAAAACTCGGAAGTTAAAAGCTTCTAAAAGAAAAACCAGTTTTTTTGGTCTTCTTGAGTCGATTGACATTTTTCGATTTTCTTTTTGCTGTGCTCTTGATTTTTTTTTGCTCCAGATGGCTTGCAGTTGGTAAGCTGGACTATTCTGAATACATCTCCGCCTCTGTTTAAATTATTTCTAGCACTTGAGTTGTTCCTAGCGCGTGATACAATGACGCGAAGTGTGTTTTGTCATAGGATTTAGCGGCGGTGGTCTGAACTTCATAGATGGGTTGCAGAAAGAGATCAAAAAGAACACTCGACAGGTGAAGAGCAAAGTTACAGAGCCCATTTACAGTCGCACGGGCATTGTAAGTGGAGCAGGTCAATCGGGGTCAAATGACACGGCCTCTTCTTCAGCAGGGGAACACATGAAGTTTGCAGATGAACACTATCGAGAAATGAGTAAGTATATAATTGGTTTTAAAATTAAATGAAATACCTTTTAAGAAATAGTTTATTAGAGTAATTCATTTCTGAGAGAAAGGAAAAGAAACATGCTAGATTTTAAGATTATCTCCCAGGTGTTAATGTAACAGGCATTTTTGATTAAATGTGTGGGCTAGAATATAAAGCGTTTTGAGTTCTTCATAAAACAGTGTATTGCCTAATGGATGCTGGGGCTGAGCTTTAATTGCTTCCAAAAACTGTTTGTTAGAATTTTAATCATCGTCAGTGTGGATGCGAATCTAGAAGAAGCTCTGAACTAAATTTTCAGACAGAAGCAATGGGTTGGTTTGCCACAAAAGGTTAAATTTTGTCAAATTTTTTATGGCGACTAACTTGTGTGGAGATTTACTTTTAATCATACAAAGCTGATTTAATTTAACCGGACAAAACGCGCTAAACTTGAAATCTCAAACGCATTTTTCTTAAATTGGGCTGAGTTTAAATGAAAACTCATGAAGACAAAACTTGCTCGAAATTTTGACAGAATTAATATTGTGTAATTCGTTTTGCGAAATTTAGGTCCAAAACCTTACCCTAAAAGTGCGTCATTTTGGATTTACTTAGTTAAGCAAAAATTACGCCAAAAATGCCCAGTCGATCACAGACATAATTATATCAATGTGAGAATCTCACGTAGCCCAACAAATTTTAAGAAAGGTAAATTCTCCAAAAAAAGTTTTCGCAAACCGTTTAAAAATTGTTTTTAAATAAAAAAATTTGGTGTTTTATGTAGTAAAAACTACCTTTTTTGTCGATCAAGGAAAATAAATGAACTTATTCAATGTTTTGGAGAATATACTCTCCTTAAAGTTTGTTGGACTATGTGAGGGGCTAACTTTGATATAAATATGTCTGTGATCGACTGGCTATTTTGGCGTAATTTTTGATTAACTAAAAAAAGCCAAAATGAACCATTTTTGAGGTAAAATTTTGGACCCGAGTTTCCCAAAACAAATAACATCATATTGATTTTGCTAATAGTCTAAGCAAGTTGTGTCATTTTCCACATATAATTAACCCAATTTGATTTTTTTTAAAAACGCGTTTTATGCGTTTTGTCCGGATAATTTAAATCAGCTATGTAGAATTCGATTACGTTGTTCGTGACCTTTACACTTGCTGCTCAGCTCATCAAAATAACTCTGAAATTTGATCAAAATGGAATATCCTCGGACAGGCTTAACAGCTTTTGTTAGATCCTCTGCAATTCACTAAGAATTAAATTTTGTGTTGAAGACAAATTGCCAGAAAAAATATCCATAGTTTAGACTAAGAGTATGATATTGCATGACCATCGTTTCTTTTGTACAAAGTACGAGTGCCTAATCTGGGAACGGAGAAAACCAGCGACTACCTTCCCCTACCATTCAGCTGGATCAATCAATAACATCCTTCTCCTAAAAGCCGGCATAGAATCGAACCCAAAACTGCTGTACATCTGCCCTATCTGTGATAAAAAATAACGAGAGCTCACAAAAGCGTCTGGTGCCACTTCGGCGGATTGGTACACTTCTCTTGCACCTCGTTACATAACACTGCGGAATGGTCTCGCAATTACTATTGTCAAAACTGCTCTTACTGTCAATATCAAAATCACTGCCCCAAATACTATGGCAACATCAAAAAATATCTTGATGAAAATGATCGCCTAACACCAGGTCAATACAAAGTCGCTCTGAAAACAAGTCGTTCAAATGAGGTGAAAAACTACATTATCAAACATCCTTTTAAACTGGAGGGCTCTCAAACTCCAGAAATAGCTTCGGAAGAAAACAGCTTTCCCAGAAGTTCGCGACGTACTTTTGCTCAACTCCGCTGTGGATATAGCACACAACGAAATAATTATCTGTCGAGATTGGACAAAAACATCGAAAACAGCTGCCCAAACTGTAACGCTATTCCGCATGACACACCACTTCTTTAACTGTCAATTGAAGCCAACATCGCTTCAACTTGACGACCTGTGGGACAACCCCGTTGCAGCCGCAAAATGGCTCAACTTACCAACATAACGGGGCTTATTAGAAGTTTTTTTTTCGCTGAAATCGGGCACGGGAGTTTTGCTCGGTACTTCGTACCAAAAACTGCCCCCTAGAATGGGGTTTAATCAGCACTGTCGGAAGGGGGCCTTCCTGCTCTTAGCGAACCCTGGGAAAGCCACAGTTACTGTTTTACGGACGAAACGAAACAATCAATCAATCTCCGCAATCTTCGATTGTGGAGCACGGAAAATAAACGGCAGTGAAGACACGAATTTGACGAGCCCTCTTTTTGCAGCTACAAACAACAACAACGCCATCGTTTCGTTAAATTGAGGGCAACCCAGTGATCAAATAGCGCATAGAATCGAATTCTGAATGTATATTTATTCTGAAACTTCTGATTCCAAAAAAAATTTCTGGCTTCCAAAAATTACGCTCCAAAAATATATTTTAGGTGACCATATAATAACAATAATCACCTTAAGAATTAAAGTCTTGAATTCTAGACCCTTTTTAACTGATTTACCCCTGCTTTTAATCGTGAGATTTTTCGGAATTTAGAAATTCATACCTGTTTCATTCAAAGGTTTTTGGGAGCTATTTTAGTCTTCAACTATTCATTTTGTTGAGGTTTGATGAATGTTTAATTTAGTCAGACAAGGCATCCAATAGAGTCCTGAATAATGTACTGATTGGTTGATAAATAAAGAGAAGTAGAGGTCAATATCTCAGAAACAAAAAAGAACCGATCTTTCTAGATAAATTCGGCTCTCAAGAGGCGTCCTATTCCCATGGTAAGTTGAGTTGGCCTGCCAGCAATTCAGCCAGTAACTATTGATATGCTTCTTGGCTTCACTAACTGCAACCGTTCTTTTTGTGCCTGGTGTAAGTGGACGTTGTCGCCTTTCATTGATTATAACCGAATATTCGTCGCTTCTTCGTTATACCTCCGCATCTGATTTAGCTAAACTAAAATCAGTATTTTAATTCTGTTAAGATTTCTTAGTGTTTTTCTAAACACAGTAACTCTTGTACAATAACAACCTATAGATCTAAAAGAGCTTTAAAATCTAACGTGCAAACTGAAGTCTGAGAAAAGCCATGTATTCATGGGCGGATTTAGGGGGTGGGGGTAATGGCTACCCCCGACCCTCAGGGATTCGACCCCATGCCGACCCAAAGGGTCCCCCTTTGTACTATTTCGAGATATCCATTTTTGGCTGACTGAGCCTAAAAAATTTCTAAAGGCGCCTTTGGCGCCAATGTGTTCCATTTTTGAAGGGGGGATTTGAGCGCGCCGGAAAATGCGATTTTTTGGTCAACTTTTTCCCTAAAAAAGCTCATAATAGGGTCATTATAATGATTTGGGAGAGCTCACAAAATCAATTTGGTGGACCTAAAAAAATGTCGACAAAATGTTCAAATTTTCTTGAAAATCCTTCCTCGAGAAAATCCGATGAGTTGCAAAAATTTGTGATTTGATTTTTTTCGGCTTGTAAAATTATTTCTGTTTTTGAATTAGCTTGAAGTATTTTATACTGCTTATCAAACAAACAAACGAATAGTTATTTTTATCAAAAAAACTTACGAAGAGTTAACAAAGGAGGAAGTGAGGAAGTTTGTCTTAAGAGTCAGCTGTCAATTCATATGCTGGGTTATGAAGGAAAAGTGCCTTAAACAAGAAAAGTTTTATAAAAAGAAAAGAGTATTTTGACCAGTTTTGGCTATTTTTGGAAAATTTCAAGGATTCAAACAAATTGAATTGCTTTTGCTTTAGATAATTTACATTTTTCCTTGTTTGGAAATTTTTTTGACGTTTAAGCAGGTGTAATTATGTTTGCAAATGATTGATTGAGATTCACAAATGGTTCTATAGAGCGTTTTATTACAATGAAAACTGAAATCGAAATTTTCTTCTCGTTCTGAGGGCGTGGTCGGAACAGTAACAGTCTGGACGAAAGGTTTTAACCTTAGTATGCTAGGAACTCATAGCTTGCAGGGCTCTTGGGAAGGAATGCAAATCTTGCAGGATGTTTCTCGGACATTTGTTTGCTCTAAAAAAAATTTGAGAGTCAATTAACGCAATGAAGACTCTTATAATTATATATTTTCAGGATATCAACGCTCAAATTTGATTTTTCGTGGTTTGAATTTTGATTTCTTTTTAGGTTCGGTTCATTTCCTTTGCTAAAAGGAAGATAAACTCCTTTATTGAACAGCGAAAGTGTAAAGGTCACGAAAAACGTGATCGACTTCTATTTTCAAAATCGGATTTTAATCTTCCCAGCGGAGTTCCCAGCGGAATTAAAAATTAACCGATTGATTCATTTTTCTCAAGTTGAGTTAATTTATCAAAAAATTGTTAATCATAAGATTTCTTAGCATTCAAAGAGCTTCAAGGGCATTTATTTTTTAAATTGAAATGCGAAAGTTGAGATTTTTTTTATAAAACAAGTCAGTTTTTTTTTACTTGCGTTCATTGACTCTTTTCCAACTGTGTGTTGGCTCAACTAATTCTGTCTGTTTTAACTTTTTACAACTTATTTTTAATGCAACTTTTGTTTAGACCTTGAGTTCCGAGTGGATTACGAGTTGCGTGCCCAGAAGTCTCTCGTGGATTTCTACAGTGGCATCTCGACCATGCCCACTGCCCACGTGCAGTACTGGGAGAGCAGAGACAGTGCCATCTTCTTCCTCCAGACGCTCATGAAGCCACTGCAGAAAGAACCACTATCTCTACAGGCTAGTCTGCATTGCATAGTACATGCCAAATTGCAGGCGTAACGGAAAATTTCTGCTCGGGGTGGTTTTTTTTCAGACAAACTTTTTAACTAACAATTTTTGACGGGACTTTTTTTATATCATTCAAAAAGTATTGTTGCCCTGAGCTTAAATTTGAAAGTATATTTCACCTGTGATCATTTTTCACAAATGGGGGATGATTTTCACAAAAAAAAAATTTTTTTTGTTTTTGTTTTATTTAATTTTTTCATGTTATTACTGCTGCATAGACTGCTCTTTAAATTGAGGCATGCTAGGTGGTAATTTTTTTTAATTGACTGGTACTGCTAATGCGTCATAATTGGCGTGCGTCACTTAAGAAGTTTTGTAGACTCAAAGTTTTATTCATTCAGTTTTTCGCAGTAGGATTATCGGTCATATTTTCGCTTGTGTATGCGAAGGGCCTTTTCGCCTCTGTGTTAACCGTGCCAAGCCATTTTAAGCCATACAATCGATTGTTTTAAAATCATTTTTCCATGTTTAGAAAATCAATTTGTTCAAGGAACCCTCTAACTGCTAAAAGAAGCTTCACATTTTTAGTTCCTAAAAATATATTGATCTGGTTCCTGTTACCAATACTTTAACCAAATTTTCCGTATTCGCTGTTTATCCGGGGTGTGCGCTGTCAGAGTTTGACCCTTTGCACCTCAACATGTACCCCTTTTGAGGTGTCTTCAAACTGTCGAATTCTTTGATGCCCTTTACCATGATTGCCAATGTATTAATCATAATAATAATAAAACAGAATTTAGGGTAGCACCCAGGGGAGATATTCCCGAGTTCCAGTTTTCCAAAGTTCATTTGAGTTTGTGTTGATTTCTGCAGTTCTGACAATTACATGTCAGTCTCCAGGAGCATATATCTTCGAGATTATATTTATTGACAAAATAGTTTTTGTAAACTTCCGCGATTTTATTTTTTGGATTTTTTGGATTAATCCCTATCTTTTGTGCAACTGTGTTTGCTAAGAATGTAACTCTTGTCCAAAACTCACTTTCTTGTTTCTTCTTCAACCGAATTCGTGTTTTATAGAACTTCAATTCCTGTGCTCTGGTGTTTTGTTCTGATTGTACTTGAACAAAAGATTCCCACTCAATATGATACCTGCCTTTCAGTATGTCGACAAATGTCAAAAGAACGTGCATATCGTGATACAAGGATAGTGGTAGAATCGAAAGTCGTTTTAATCTATCTTTATAGTCTAATCTATTGGTACCAAGGATCCACTTCGAAGCTTTTTCCTGAAGGTTTTCTATCATTCTCAATTCTGATTTACTTGGTTTCCAAAGAATTGCACCGTATGAAATGATTGGGACAATGTAGCTCCGGTAAAGATTCTTTTTCCCAATCCAACTTGTACCATTAGCGATGTTTCGTTTTATAGTGAAAAATACTTTGATTGCTTTCTCACATCTTCTTTCGACGTTTGCAGTCCATGTCAAGTCGTTCGATACAATTATTCCAAGATCTTTTTCCTTCTGTGTTTGTTCAAGTGTCTTTCCATTCATTGAAATACTTCCGTTTCCTTTTAAGTTCAGCGTTTTACATTTGCTGATGTTTAATGTCATCAAATTCTGGCTACACCATTTCCATATTCTGGTCGCGTGAATTTGTAGAGTGATCGTGTTGGTAGCAATAACTTTAAAATCATCCGCGTATCCGAAACAACTTGACATGATACACTCTGGGAGATCATTTATAAAAATTATGGAGAACAGAGGACCCAGTACTGAGCCTTGTGGAACTCCACTTTTGACTTCGAGTTCTGAAGAGATCGAGTTTCCAACTTTTGCTCGGTGTTTTCGACCTTTCAGGTAGCTTTCAAGCAGCTCCAAAGCTCCTCCAGTGATGCCATTATTTTGCAATTTTTCTATTAATTTTTCATGACTGACCTTGTCGAACGCCTTTTCGAAGTCGAGGTATAGAGCAGTCAGTGTTGGAGATTCGAAGTGGTCAAATACTTCACTGAGATATAAGATCATTTGAGTCGTTGTGGATTTACATTTGGTGAATCCATGTTGTTCTTTGCAGATATTAAGTCCAATGGCTACGTATAGTTTTTTCGAAAATTAATGTTTCAAGAACTTGAGAGGCACGCCGTGAGCGCAATGAGACGATAATTTGAAATGTCTTGTTTGTCTCCGTCTTTAAATATTGGTATAAGGATACTCAATTTCCATAAGGAAGGGTAGTTATGTTTATTAACATTTATGTTGAAGACGAGTGTCAGTGAAGGAGCCAAGTATTTAGCTAAACTTTAAAGAGGTAGATTTCCTAAACCGCCAGGACATTTTGCTTTCCCCATACACAAGTTCTCAAGTGTAGTTTGCACTTCTCTCTTGTAAAGTGGAGTTTATCTACTTTTGAAGTTTTGGAGTTATTGGAGGTTCTTTGATAATCCGAATTAGTAAAGACTGATTGAAAGAACTCATTAAAGAGTTGGGCTTTTTCTTTATCGGTGACAGCGATCTGATCATTTAAGTACATTTCTGAGGGAAGTTGAGTTGATTTTTGAATGCTCTTAAAATACTTTTGTATTTGTGAAAATGTTCAATTTTCGAAAACTAAGTGTTTTGATCTTCGTTTAAAAATTCACTTACTCCTGATTCAAGTGTTGCCGGCTTTAGGTAGTTATTCGGGGACGGTTTTTTATTCATCCATTTTCTCATTTTAATCCGCTTTTTTGCATTTGATGTTTCATTGCTGACCCAAGGAGGTAAACTCATTCGGTGTTTTGTCTTTTTGGGTATCTGTTTTTCCAATATCTTATGTAGCTAATCATACCATAAATCAACTACAACGTCGACATTGCTGAAGCAGTAAGGCAAGAAAGGATTTTGCACAATGTATAATCCGGTTTCATTCCAATTCGCTTTTTCGAACGAGAATATGCTAAAATCTTCTTTTTCAGGCAAAGTTTTTGTCACTTTGAACCAATCATTTAAACTTAGTTTGAGCTGGAATGGCTGATGATCGGATTTAAATAGTTTCTTAACGTAATTATCTGCACTTACGTTTAGTATTGGTTCTGTATTGTTGACTAGAATGACATCAAGTTGCTTTTTAGCACCTGTGATCAATTGCTGGTAATTGTGTTCAAACAACTCCTCTAGTACGAGTGCTTCGTCCAAATTTGAGGACTCCATATGATGCCAGTTTGTGTTATCAAAATTGGTGTCCCCTACAAGCATTGTAAGGTTGGTGACGTGATTCCTACTCAGTTCGTCTAAGCATTCAAGAAGCTCCATTAGAAGAATGGGCGAATACCTGTATGGACTGTTTTTAGGGGCACTGTAGATACAGCACAAGAGACATCTGTAGTCGTTAAATTCAAGCTGAACAAATACTGTATCAGTGAATTTTGAGTCAATAATTAATCACCGATGTTGAATACTATTGTGTACTGCAATAAGCACCCCACCATGCTTTGTTTGGCAATTAACCGTATTACGATCATTTCGATGTATGACGAAGTTATTGAGAAAAAGAGCATTATCGGGTATTTCTGGTACTAACCAGGTTTCCGTCAAGCAGATAATTTTGAAGTGATCGCAATTTTGTATGACATTTGAAAAGTCCATGCGTTTAACAAAGTCTACAAGACTCCTTACATTGTACAAAAGTAGGTGGGTACTGTTTTCAAAAAGGTTTGCGGCGAGTCATGACGACGATTCTTCGTCGTTTTTGACTTCTACCCAGTCATCCCCGTCTTTCTTATACAATTTTAGGTCGCGAATTTTGAGTTCCTTCCGTAATATTCCAGCTTCAATCATTTCTCGGCGTTTCTTAAGTATCAGACGTTCTTGTTTTGCTTCTTCAGCGTTGAGTTCTTTACTTACAAATATTAATTTGTTGTACTCCTTAAGCTTGCTGATGGACAGGAGAATCAGTCGTCTGTGGAATTTATTTGCAAATGTGAAAACTATTGTCCTTGCTCTTCCCTCTTGATAGGGTCCGATACGTTTTATTTCAGTGATCTCACATTCGATTGATGAAAACGTCATCAAATCGGATATCTCTTTCATATCATGCTCATTTCGCTCACGGGCAAGTTTTGAAGTGCTTTCAAGCACACCTCTTACTCGTATGCCTTCGGGGGTTTCGGCTTCCACTGTTTTCTTTGGTGTTGGATGATCTGCTCCAATATGAGTTTGTTTTGGAATTGGTTGCTTAACGAAGGATTTTTTTAAACTCGGTTATTGCTTTTTTGATTTCTGTTACCTCTGTTTGAAAAGATTTTATTTGTTTATCATCTTTGGCTTGTTGAATTTTTGCAGCTGATTCTATGATCCGATTTCGCTGTTTTCGCGCCACAAAGTCATTGCACAGAAGAAGTGCATTATTTCCCAGCTCTTTTACGCCTAGGAGCGCTGCATCATTTAGTGCCCTACAGACTTTTGTCAAATGAAAATTGACTCCACAACTGAAGCAGTGAAAATCAACCTCATCGGCAGATATTTCAAACTTACCGGTTTTACAAAACTTTTGGCCCTCTTTTGCTACATCTGTTGCAGATTTTATCCTTGTTTTATGAGACATGGCTAAACACTTACTTAGGAAAAAAGTCTGTAGTCCAAAATCCGTAACTCGCTGACAAGAGAGGTCACTAGAGTTTCACCACAAACTCTTTAAATATCCTTTCTAAAAGTCTGTAGTCCAAAATCCGTAACTCGCTGACAAGAGCGGTCACTATATTTTTTACCACAAACTCTTTAGATATCCTGTAACTCAAAATCTGTAACTCGCTGACAAGAGCGGTCACTAGAGTTTAAGCCACAAAATATTATTTCTGCAAGAAAATCCTTTTTAAGTTTGTATTACAAAATCCTTAACTCACTTAAAAGAGTGGTCACTAGAGTTTGTTCAACAAACTGTTGTTACAGATTTGAGTCTTTGAGTTTTGAAGTTTCGTCGTAGGTTGGTCGGTTTTTGCTTCGATTGCTTCAATTTCTTTCGGACTTTTCGCGCTTGTCCCGGGTTCAAATAAATACGAAAATTTTGGTGATTTACATTTAACCTCTCACAGTTTTTCCTCTCTGTACCGTTGTTCTGCCCGTATGATTGAATCACTGCATGCTGCATTTTGTTATTTTAATCCTAGAAATCGGTGACCTGGAATATCCGTGACCTGGGATATCGGTGACCTGGAATAGTGGTGACCTTGGAAAAGCTGTGACCCTAAATATAGGTGGCAATGAATATCGGTAAACTTGCGGAGTTGATAAAAAACAAAGCTTTTAGTGTGATTAAGGTTTTAGCACGGTTTTTACGTGCTGAATTGAATGAAAAATTAATTTCAAACGCCCAAAAGAGCAGATTTAATTAATTAACAGTTCTTTTTGTTGATTTGTTGACCAGAAAGCTTGTTACCAACAATTTGGCCTCTATATAGTGTTTGTCCACGGCTTCAATCTTGTAAATTAAATGAAATTCGGAATGCGCTATAGATGCAATATTTAACTGAAAGCAAATACACTAATTTTGTCGAGCGCTATACTCAAGCAAATACACTGTTAAACTTCTTAGAGAATGCCAAGAATGTTGTAGAAGTTTCATCGCTTCAAAAGCTTGCTTGAATTTTTTTTTGCCAAGCAATCCAAGCTTTCCCAATGTCGTATCGTGGCGAGACTTATGCTTAGAATTCAAAATGTTTGAAAACTTGTTAGTGCAATACAAATAAGTGGGAAGATTATTGATCAAAATGTACAAATGTTGCTCAAGTTTCCAAATCGATAGAGCATCCGGCTTGGCTTCTAACAGGAAGATTGCGAGTTCGAATCTTGTCACGGGGAAGAAATTTTTGAAAGCTGTACGCCCAGAAGCTAAAAGTGTTTCGAAACTGGTAGCAGTAGAAAACCAATAAATAGTTAGATCTTTTCAAAACAGAAAAAAATTGTTTTCTTTTTTTTGAGTGTGTACATTTCAGTCGCTTCTGTGCCTTTATATTGGTCGAAACTACGCAACCTATCAAAATGAAGCTTTCAGTTACTTTTATTTTGTTATCTCTATCTTACTTCCCTCAGGTTCTTTGAAAATCAGTTAACATTGTTTTCGTACCGTGGTGAGACTTGAGTTTAGAAATTAAAGGTGTTTCAAAAGTGGTTGTAGTAAGAAAAAACATTAATCGGTACGACCATGATGAAATAGAACAAATACTGCTCAAGCTGCCGAATGAATGGAGCGTCCGGCTTTTTGCCTGAAGTTTGCATGTTTTTGAAATAATTTTGACTTTGAGACTTCAAAAAGACATTGAATTTGAAAGGTTGAAAATCTTTAAATGAAGTGCAACGAAAAAGAAACAGACCAAAATGGCTGCGCATTTGCAGCGACGTACATTGTTTTGAATAACTTCAAGACAATGAATGTTTTAAAATTGAGTCTGAAAGGTTTGGGCTAATTGGGCGAACAATTTTATCACATTTCTTCAATATAGGTAAATCAACTGATCACCAATTGAAAGTAGAATTTTGTAAAGACGTTTTTCTCAGGATTCCTCAATCATTTTTTTATCATATTCAGGTCCGAAGAAGAGGGTGCCCAGCGCAATGTTGGGATATGGTTGTCGATTAACTAAAATATTTATTTTTCCTAGAGGTGTGGGCTAAAGCGTTTTCATTGTCGTGTTGGAAGACGTAGCCCTCACCCGAAAACGCGAAATTTTTGCTGTGAACATAAAAAATTTCCCAAATTGTGGTTTTTCTCCGTTGATTATTCTGTGGCCAGAGTAAAGACATCCAAACCGTTTAGCAGAGAAACAGTCCTAAACAACTATACTACTAGTAGTTCGAATTTCGGGTTGAGTAACTACGATTTTGGGTGCTCTCCGTTTTTTTATTGCAAAATGTTGTCCTGTAAATTTTTCTACTGGACTGTTGAAGTTTATTAGAAACTTCAATCTTTTGAAGGTTTATCAGAACTTCTTTTCTGGCTTTCACCTAAACTTAACAATTTTCACGGATGTTTCGAAATCATTATCTAGCAAACTTATGTTCCGAAAATGGAATTTGAACATTGAACTCTGAGAGAGATACGTTGCCGTTTCTACCTAATTTTTCTGTTTAGCGTCTGAAATTTTGAGTTTGAGCGTTTTTTCTGTAAAATTTGGCGGTAGTTTTGCCCGATGCGCCGTTTAAAAATATTAACGACAGTTGAATGGAATAAAAAAGTGTCTTGGCAGTTTTGTGCGTTGCAATGTGTCTATTCTTTTTGTTAATATTTTCGGATAAATCATCAGACAAAGGTTTGCCACCCATTTTGCACAGCACTGATTTAAAAGAAACGACAAAAACTAATCACGAAACTTCAACTGCATTTTCTAGACGTTTGACCGAAACAGTCTTGATTAAGAGTCGATGAACGTAATGATGACCCTTATGTACGTCGTGATTGTTTTTTGTGGTTTTTTCAGGAAAAATCTTGAAATTCGTTCAGGCTCAAATTTGATATATCACGATCTGACGATCTCGAAGAGCACGCCTCACCACTATGCTAAGTGCATCTCCAACTAAGTGCCTCTCCCACTATCGAAAAGCAAAAGTGTAAAAATCACTAAAGTTGTGGTCCACTTCAGTTTCGAAGATAGATTTCATTTTCAGATTCCACAGCCAAATCAAAAGTTAACTTACTGGTTCAGTTTTCTCAAATTGGGTTAATTTTATCAATAAAGTGTCAATCAAAAATTGTTGTAGAAGTTCAAAAAGCTTTAGGGTCAGTTTTCTATTTTTTTCTTTGGAGCTCGAAAGTTGGAGTTTTTCAAAACAAAACACGACTATATTTTTTGCTGTTTTTTGCTTCTATTTACTCTCTTCGAACTCTCATATGGCTATGTTTTAGTTCTAAAAATTAGGACATTTACCTTTAAGTTAGTTAAATTCTTTAACAAAAATGGAGCGTAATTTTGTTTACTTTTGGCAGCCACGAATTTGCCGATAAAAGTTGTATTCAAAATAACATCCCTAAAGCGGTTCAGGGGATGTTATTTTGAATACAACCCCGGTTCAGGGGATGTTAACTTGATTCTAAGTTGGAATTTCTAGCCAATCAGAATTGAGTATTTTATTCACTCCAATGAGCATGTTGCCTAAATCAAAAAGTAATGATGGATTTTCTCTTTGTCGATTTGGGCTCGAATCCTAATTTAGTTTCCTATTTTACACTATATTCCCTAAATGCGAATTTTTTTGCGTGCAATTTATTATTTTCTCTTGCTCATAAAACATTAAGAAACATTAACCAGATAAAAATTATTTTACTTTGTATTTGACAGTCTGTGTGGGGGAAATTTAACCAAAAAACTTCAAAAGTCTCCTTTTATAATTTCAGGGATTCAAAGAAAGTGTGGTCGATACCTGTAAATGCAGTCGGAATATTCCGGGCTTCTTGTTATTTTAATGAGTTTATCCGCAATCGAGATCATGCTTTTTGTTGTCAAATTGGTTTTTGGTTTTCACGGAAAAGATTATGAGAATTTTTGTAATTTTCTGTGACAGCTAAATGGACCCGGAAGTTTAATTAATGTTTTAAAGTTATTAATTCGTCTTACGGAGAAGGTTACTGAAAAGTTATATATATTTTACCGGCAATCATTCTTTAATTTTATTTGGGATTTTGAATATTGCCAATTTGGGATAGTTAACACGCTATTTTGGTCTATTACGCATCAGCGGCAATTTGATTCCACCTCTAATCCAGCTCAGAAAACATTTGAATTGAGGCAAGCTATTTGGTTTAATAGAAACGTAGATAGATGCGAAAAGGCCCACTTTTTTGACATAAAGCGTGAGAGAAGAGCTTTGAAAAAAATATGAGCAAAGTTTCTTCTTTTTTGAAAATCTCATCAAGTTTTTCAATCAAAAACTACTACTTCACAGATGTCAAGGGCGGATCTAGGATTTTCTTGAGAGTGGGGGGCGGATTTTCAAAAAATTTTCGGAAATTTTGTCGACCTTTTTTAGATTGACCAAATTGATTTTCCGAGCTTTCCCAAAGCACTAAAAAGCCCCTGTTTTGGCCAAAATGTCTGTGTCGCAGGCAAAATTTTGAAAAAACAGGCCAAAAAAGGCGCTTTTAGGCACTTCTTGGAAAATTTTAACCAAAAAGTTGCGTTTTTCTGCGTGCCTTCCCCCTCAAAATTAGTATATATTGGCGCCAAAGGCTCCTTTAGAAAATTTTTAGGTTACGTCACCAAAAATTGATATCTCAAAATAGTTCAAAGGGGGACCCTTTGGGTCGGCAGGGGTCTAATCCCAGAGAAGGGACGTCCACCCCTGATAGATGCATAGATATTGAATCGCTATCGCAAAATTCAGGGTTAAGAGCTGTCTTGTTATGGTGTGAAAAGATTGATTCTAAAAAATACATTGTTTAGGCTAGGAAAATGGTCCCGTCAGCTCCGTCTTCCTCTTCGACTGCAAACAACAAACTATGACGACACGATTTGTGATGAAAACAGAAAGGACAAACTCAGTTATAGCGTAATCAGATGAGACGCAATCAGATCCTAATCCGAGCTATCTTGGCAGAAGGAGTGGAAGAATGATCAACTTCTATCAATCAGATGCGAAATACAATTAGTTAACAAGCTACTATCGTATGACCTGCTATGCTGCAACACAATCACTGTTACTGAAAATACGGTCAAGACTATCCTTAAAAACCGATATAATTGAACTTGCATAATCCACAACTCCGAGACTTGATAACATCAATAAAACATAGCGTGCTTTTGTCGGCTAGTGACTTTAATTGAGATATGATCCGAAAAGTTTTCGATAAATTTGTTGTGTACTCATTGGAGAAAAGTCAATATAGTTTTCTATGCTTTGATCCCCGTGTAAAAATTGTAAATATTGCGATGTTACCAATTTATTACCATTTCCTTCATTTTTAGTTAAATTTGAGTTATTCAAAATCTTAGTGCGGTTGATATCTGAATATAAGTAGACGTTTCACACTCATAAAGTATACATATTTTTATAGTACACTCACTTAACGTATACTTTTTAGTAGTGTAGCTTAGTTTTTTTCTACATTTTTTATATTTGTTTCATCATATCGATTGTGTTGGCTTTCGAAGTTATTGTTCGTAACAAAAGTAACGGAATATTTGTGGTCGGGGTGGTTTTTTTTTCTTCAGACAAATTTCAAATTTTTAACTAACTAGTTTTGACGGAATTTTTAAAATATCATTCAAAAGGCATTGTTGTCCTGAGCTTAATTTTGAAAGGATATTTCACCTGTAATCGTAAAGTTATGGGGGTTTAAACATTGCCATTTTGGATATTTTGGGACAATTATCGCGCGATATATTTCGCGATATTAACGCGTAAGCGGAGATTTAATCCGTCTTAGAAATCGTTCCAAATTGGTTGAAGGAAGCTTAGTTGCCATAATCGATTTGTTACAAGGAGCGAAATCTATCACATTGTACTTTATATGGCGTATGGGGGGATGATTTTCACTAAAAATCTCAAAATAAAAAAAAACTAATTTTTATTTTGTACATTTATTTTTTTCATGTTATTACTGCTCCATAGAACTTAAGAGGCAGTCGGAACATTCTAAACTTTGTCCTGATACGAGCAGTCTTGTTCAGATCAGAGCTCGACGGAAAAGATATTTCAAACGTTCACGTAATAACTCACCGAGAAAAATTTACATAATTAGATATGTACGCTGCGCTACGCCGCCGCATATTAATAGTTTCAGGTTTTATAAATCTCAATCTAACTTCATTAAAAGTACCTTAACAATTTAGTCTACACGATTTATGTGGTTCTGAGGTAATAGATGCTTAGAATTAGCAGTTGCCTACATAAGGCAAACAAGAAATCCGTATCGAAGAGAACGATTGGGTCAAAAATGTTGTTTCTCAAAATCAGGTTCAACGTAAAACATCCTACGGGTTCAAACATTTCCGTTTTTACCAGTGGTGGGAGGAAAAAATTTTCTAGGGTGCGGTTTTTGGAAATATTAACTTTTTTATGGCGACCAATTTGATTTTCAGAGCTCTCCAAAAATACTTAAAAATTTGAACCGTTTGAATTGAATGTGATGTTGTGAGTAAGTTTGAAATACTGATTCTTTTGCTAGTTCAGCAAATATTTAAAATAAGTTCACATGCGGTAGCATGTGTTTTGTAATATAAATAGTGTTCATAAAACACGTTTGTCTGAAAATCATATCTTATTTCAACATTCTTTTTACTATAGGCAGTAAACATCAGCGATTTCTGATGATATTTTTGAACAATTTGGATTAGTTGTGCTTTTTTCACAGTTTGTAAAATTTCACTGCATTTTGAGACCAAAAAGCTCACATAGTCTTGAAAAACAAACCGAAGGAAAGTAAAGTTTTTTATCTAGCTTTCCTCAAACTGTGCAATATTTAGACAAAAAAGACGAAGTCAACTAATGGTGGGAGGTATTGTTCCGACTTTCGATACGAAAGTAACGGAATATTTGTGCTCGGGGTGGGTTTTTTTTTCTTCAGACAAATTTCGACTTTTTAACTAGCCATTTTTGACAGATTTTTTAAAAATCATTCGAAAGCTATTGTTGTCCTGAGCTTAAATTTGAAAATATATTTTACCTGTGATCATTTTTCGTAAAGTTATGGCGGTTTAAAGATTGCCATTTTGGCCAATTTGGGACAATTAACGCGCGATTTATTTCGCGCTATTAACGCGTAAGGGGAGATTCAATCCGTCCTAAAATCGTTCCAAATTGGTCGAAAGAAGCTTATTCGCCATAATTGATTTGTTGCAAGGAGCTAAATCTATCCTTTTGTGCTTTATATGGCGTGTGGGGGGATGATTTTCATAGAAAAATTTTCAAATTTTAGAAAAAAACTTTTCATTTTATTTTATTTCATTTAATTTTTTTATGTTATTACTGCTCCATAAACGTTCAAAGGCAGTCGGAACTTTCAGGGCTTCGCCCTGATACGAGCAGTCTTGTTATGTTTCACTTATTTTTTGCAAAATTTTGACTTTTAACAAACTTTTAAAATGGGCAACTTCGTTTGGTTCATTGAGCACTTGAGCAAACATGAAAAGTCAATTCATGTTAATTTACATCAATTGACCCTTTAAGTTTGCTCAATCTCGAATCAAACAAAATGATCAGTTTCAAGGGCTTCATTTTGTAATTTTATTTAGAAAAAAGTGCACTATAAAGTTTCTAGCTAATTTTCACGCAAATTTTATCTTGAGCTTTTTTTTGTCTAAACTCAACCCAATTTGAGGAAAACTAGTTGAAAATTTTTGTTTTTATTGTTCCCACTTTCGATACGAAAGTAACGGAATATTTGTGATCGGGATGGGTTTTTTTTCTTCAGACAAATTTCGACTTTTTAACTAGCCATTTTGGACGGAATTTTTTTTCTATCGATCAAAAGGTATTGTTGTCTTGAGCTCAAATTTGAAAAGATATTTCACCTATGATCATTTTTCGTAAAGTTACAATTTGGTTTAAAGATTGCAATTTTGGCCAATTTGGGACAATTAACGCGCGATATATTTCGCGCTATTAACGCGTAAGCGGAGAGTTAATCCGTCATAGAAATCGTTCCAAATTAGTTAAAAGAAGCCTATTCGCCATAATTGGTTTGTTACAAGAAGCAAAATCTATCCTTTTGTACTTTGTATGGCGTGTGGGGTGATGAGTTTCATAAAAAAATTTCAAATTTTAGAAATTTTTTTTTTCATTTTATTTTTTCTTACATTTAATTTTTTAATGTTATTACTGCTCCATAAACCTTAAAAGGCAGTCGGAACTCTAGGGCTTCGCCCTGATACGAGCAGTCTTGTTAAATTTGAGAAACGTTTCACTAACGCATTCTTATAGTTTTTATCATTTTTTTGTTTACAAAGTTTTTTGGATTTTTAATTCAAACTGAGCGTTTCTTGAAATTTACTGAGTTTATGACAATTTGGCCCTCAATCTTTTCGAAATCTGTACCCTTTCAATTACGAATTTTCAATTGGCTTGTTTTTTTTTAAAAAACCAAATTTTATAAACGAGTGTTACGAGGCCTATAGAAATTAATAGTTTTTCATAAAAGAAACTAGCAATCAAGTATTGTTGTGGTTGAATCGGAATCACAGTTTTGATTGTTCAGAACTTCATTTGATAATTTTTCAGAAACGTATATCTTTTATCATAACTATTAATTTTGCGGTCGGAATAAATGAAGTAAGAATGGAGTTAATCCAAAAGATTTAAAAAATTGTAAAATAGCTGCCAGTAACTAACTCCCTGAATAGATTTCAAAAATGTACTGAACATAGCACTTTTTTGAAACCTATTTTTCAGACATTGCCTAAAATTTAAAATAGGGTTAGCTAGCCATTGATTTTCCCCTAAACTTCGGTCAATGGTTTAATTGAGGAATTTTCCAATGTTTCGATAATTAAAACCCCATTTTATTGCAGTTGATATATTTTTTAAGGATTTTTTCTCAAGAGTATAATAAACGGATATCAAGATTTTTTTCCGTTTCAAAATTTCTTAGCCAAGTTTGCTTGTGAGAGATGAATGCCTTAACTTTTTCCATTATGATGACCAACAAACAGTTTCTTTCTCATTATTTCAGAAATAGCTAATTCTCGTCAAGACAAACGAACAACTTTGTTTTCAATATTTCAGAAATTGTTTTTCGAGGCAGAGACTTTTGTCTCGTGTTCTTTTGGATCATTTGAATTGCTATGTTTGTGCTACATCATAAAAGACGCAATGCTCTGTTCGTTCGATGTATCTCAATTGTGATAATTTTGACCTATGTCTTGCAAATGACGCAACGTTCAACTTTACTATTTTGTATAGGATATTGCTTTTTAATAGCTGAGATCTTGAGAATAGACAAAAAAATTATCTCTTAATAGGAAAAAATAATATTTTTTGTTATGATAAACGAGCTATCAAAATCGTGTCATCTGCCTGAAAATCATTCATTGCAGCATCAATATATTGTATTTTTTTCAGAAAATAAAACGAAACAACTTAATTTTTATCAGCTTATTTTTAGTTTATTTGAGTCTTGATGTGAAGTAAAGGGATTAGATACTCACACATTTGTTTCAAAAAGGCGCATGTTAGTTATTCATGAGATGTTTGGTTCAAATCATGTCTGTTTGTTTTCATTTTTCTAAGCTCATTTAACTAATTTTAAGTTTTGCATTTTTAAATCGGTCTTTCGTTGGCTGTTCTTAATTAAATCGAAAACTGATTTTGCGCACCCTGGCTGATAATTCTTGTTAATCATCAAAGCGACTTAATATGTTCTGAATTTTTTTTTTATTTTCATGATAATATTGTATATATCAAAAAAAATTTTATATGGTTTTTGATATGGATTTTATATGGATTTAAAATTATAAATTATCTGTAGACAATTTTTGAAAACGCTGGGCTCTATAAAGATAGGAGTCTCAATCAGTCATTTGTTTCTTATTGTTGTTTTTTGAAAAATTTAAAATGAAATTCAACTATATATGGAGTTTTCTTGTTTTGTCCAGTTCATCAAAGTAGGAACTTTATATGCTTTGTTCAAATCCGGTGAAAGACTATTTTTTCAAGCTTATTTCTTTATCTTTTTCAAAAAATCCTTCTGAAATCAATTTTTTGTCGTTTTTGTTTATTTGCAAAGTTTGTTGAATTGATCATAAATCTGTCTAGAGTTATAGTGAAGTGAATGGAGTGGAGACAATTAGATCTAAACTACAGTCTTTCCAGAGCTAACCAGTTTGAATTATTGCATTTTTTAAAATACAAGCCCACTTTGTTAAAAAAACTGCATGCAATCTTAAGGATTACCATTTTTAATTGCATGGAAAGCGTTAACACTTTTCTCCAAAAATTAGAATAAGATTGCTCTAATTAGAGCGTAGCTCTTTTTGTTACAATTGACCTGTGAGAGGTATCTCAAATACTATTTATAAATAATTTCTTTGTAAAAAAAAACGGATGTTTTAATAAAAATCAAGTGCAAAAGAAATGCCGAAATTACTGCTTTTTAGTTTCTTTGCATTTGTTTTATATAGTTGATATCAGCAAAAAAATTCGAATTTTCAGAAGATGCATTGCTTGACAAATTTCGTTTCGATTTGCAAAAAAAAACGAATCGGTCGCTAGTTATTTTTTTTATTCGATATTTAATTTTAATTGATGAAAATGATCATTGTAATTTTGACCAGTTTTAAAACATAGTGCTGATTTAAACTTTAAACTATCCGGACAAAACAAACAGAACTTGAAATTTTATACGTTTTTTTTCTCAAACTGGGCTAAGATTAGACAAAAATGAAGAGAACAAAAAAACCGAAATTAATATGATGTAGTTTGTTTTTCAATTTCTTACCCACAATTTTTACCTAAAATGGGTAATTTTAGCTTTTTTCTAGTTAATCAAGGCTTGCGCTGAATTACTGAGTTGAGTAATCAGAAATTTTTAGATCAAAAAAAGCCTCTTACACACACAGCCCGACAAGGCTCGAGAAGGGTAAAATCTGCAAAAATCTGTATAAGGGAATATATTTTTAAATGATAGCCAAAACAGGTCATTTCCCGATTTTACTATTCTAAAACTTGGGCATGCTGTGTAAGAGGCTTCTCTGATTTAACTTTCTTATCAATTAAGTCGTTAGTTTCAGCGTAATTCTTAGTTAACTAAAAAAAGCCGAAATTACCCATTTTTGGGTAAAATTTTTGGCTACAAATTTCGGAAAAAATGTTCACGTTATAAGAGAAGAATGTAACAATCAGTTCGGCACACACTCAGGCGCACAAACAAGGAAGAACAAAATTTGGACGTTAACTTTTCGTTTTGCCAATTTGTTTTTTATTGATTTTTGAGCTCTAATTTAGTAAAATATATTTTCAAATTAACGCCTTTCATTGTTTATGTTTGCAATCTCGACCCCCTACCGCAGCAGATTGTAGATTGCTTTAAAAGTTTAGCTACAAATTAATTAGAATCCTGGAGTGCTATTAAGGAACAGATTCGTTTACTTTTCAATCAACTTTCAGTCTTTTACAGAAAAAACTCATTTGATATTTCATCAGTTAGTAATTGGTATCGTCGTAAAATTTTAGGCATGACAGGTCAAAAATGAAGCAGTTTCGAAAACTATTCGTTGTTGTATTACAAAAGCAAGCCAGCAAGCCTTGTGTTATTATACGAGTCACTATTTATCAATCCTTTTGCATTAAATAGTGCTCATTTTGCTGGCATTTTTTCTATTTTGTTTTGGCAGTTTGATATTATGTGGTCTTTATTTTAAGATTGTCTAGTTTTTTGGTTTTTTGAGCGCACATAACTCACTTATGTTCAGCAGTTGTTTTGCATTCTCGAGGTTTGTGGTTTGACTCTCGTTTTGGGTATTTTTTTAAAACTTTTTTTAGTCAATCATATTTTAGCTTTGTAAGTTTCTTTTTCTGTATACTTTTTTCAAAGCTAACTTTGAGTGTTTTGTCTTTTGTGTTTGCAAAGTGTAGTTTCTCTTCGGTTTGAAACAGTGTTATTAGTTTGAAGCTGATCTATTTCATCATTGAAGATACGCGTGTTTAATTTTCGTTAATGCATAAAGATTGGAAATGATACGCAAATGCTACCTTTTTCTTAACTTTTTCTTGGCAATTATAAGATGAAATTGAAAAAATTTAGCGCTGCACAACCAAATATTGATATCGTAAAGTAGAACCAAAGGGATCCCTAAATCCGCTGATTTTTTTGTCCGTAGCTTCTTTCCAGTTTTTCGAGTGGCCGGAATGATAACTTGTATCTGTCAGTTTTTGATAGGTTTTGTTTTAACACTTAAAAAGATCCCCCACGCACTCCATATGCAAAAAAAAGTTTTTTTTTTCATTGTGTTCCAGTTAGATGATACTGACAAACAAATTCTTTGATTTTTTGTTGCTTTTTTGTTATATCTCTGCCTTCTGTTTTCACGAAAAAGAATCCATTACACAAACAATGGTTAAAACACTATTGGCTGTTTCAAAATGCATGAAAGGTTTTCAGCCATTTTTGGGATCACAAAGTCTTTTTGTGTTTAAAAGCAGCTGCCTTTTCAGCCAATAACTTCAAGTCAGAATTAAAAATTTCGAAGCTACTTGAAGTAGAAAAGACTTTTATGTTAAAAATTCAACATTTTTCTCTCTTTCTCTACTTTGGAAATTATAAAAGTAAACAATAGCGTTTGTTTTCAAAAGGATGAAAATAACAAGGCTTTTTTGTTGAAGAAGCTTGACTGTGAGACTGTATGACTGATGGCTCAGTTGTTCAAGTCGCAAATTTGGATTGAGGGCCGATTAATTTTTCATCCGAGCCCGAAAACGAAGAAAAAGTGTAGAAAACAAAAAAGTTCTGTTGCTGGGCACCTGAAATGTCTTTGTTAAGAAATCAAGCAGTGAATAGAAAAACGGCGGTGATCTGATTAATTTTTAATTGATCAATTTTGCAGTATAAGAAGCCAGTACAAAATGCTGCTTATTTTACAGGGATAATTCTGGAATGTAGGAAAGGAAAAAACACTTAGATATGCAGACACTGGAAAAGTAGCTATGATTGGCTGACGAGTTTAGCCAATAAAAAGCCAGGTCCATTTGCCTTTTTTCAAACTTTTAATTAGCCAGGTAACCATTCCATTCTTTTACCGCAGAAGAAAAAAGAACAGATTTTTTTATTTTCGAAACTCTTAATTTGAAATAACAAAAACTAAAAGAAAACTCGTGAAAACTAGTTTTGAGCCTTATATTCGAAATGAGCGAAACAGGTAAGTTATCAGTCGAGTTGCAAAATTTTTGATTTATAATATTTTAAGATCTACAATGATCTAAAAAAGACCGATTTACAATGATTTTTTGGTGGTAAAACAAAAACATTTTCAAAAACTTTACACGAGACGTGTCTAATTGTATCAACAAAATCATGACGTCCTTGCAACTAGGTCAGAAATCAATTACAAAATTTAAAACCAGCCATTCTCTTCACTTATTTCAAATCCGACAGTTATGTCAAATTGACTTTTTTTTTCCTTTTATGAGACAGAATATATTTGCAAATCTTTATGGTTCAAAAGAGCAAAAACTTTGATATAAACTTTTTAAAATTTTTAAGGTGCGATCGTTAAAGAATTTTTTGTCGAATCTTTTTCCCCTCTATCACGCCCATACATTTCAAAGATTTCGTTCGGGTTTCAGTAAATGCAGTTCTCGGGAAAATACGACAGGCGGCAACGGGGCCTAACGGGGGAGTTCGGCCAGGACCTTTCAGCGCGACGACAGCCGCAGCTGAGTACAGTATGTATCAATCGCCAATGCTGCTCGGATCGCCACGACTTAAACGTAAGTAATCACCACTATCAATTCGAAAGCTCATGCGCCAAAAAAATTGCTTCATTTTCAGTTCTTTTTAATTTCGATTTCAGCTTTTGCAATGCCGATTATTCCTTATTGACTTAACTAGGCTGAATTTCTTGGCATATTTGACGTGAAACGTTCAAAATTGAATTACAGGATATCAGAATTATCTAGTTGTTCCGACCATTGAAAATGGGAGGAAATTTTTTTCGGGTTTTTTTTCTTTTTTGTTTGTTTTCTGTTTGGTTTTCGTCTAATTTCGAGCCAGTAAAGCGCGCGAGCAGGCTTTTTAATGAAGTATAGCCGCAGATTAGTAGTAAATAAGCCCCTGAAAAATCTAGAAAACGTTTTTAAGTGCCATATAGGGAATTGCAAACTTAGAAATTCAAAAAATTTCTGCAAAAAAGTTATATATATATATTTTTTTTATTAGTCATCTTTCAAAGAAAATTGTTTTTCAATATTCTAGTATGCCCATTTCACTATGAAAATTGCAAATGCCTGAAACCTTGTCTTTCGTTCAAATCTTTTCATACTACGCGCAAAAGAACTTGTTTTTTTTGTAGTTTTTTAAGAATATGGTGGGAACATTCTGTGCTACTCGCACAGCAACCGACTATCCTTGTTTTTTTTCTGCTATTTTTTCCCGATTTTTAAAGGAATTTGACCAAAGATACGTGTTTCTCTCCCAATGTTTGCTACGCCATCATTCGAGTGAATCTTCATAACAAAATTCGTTTGGGTCCGGCTTTTGGTTAAAGAAACAATCTTATAAAAAGTATCGTGGCTTTCTAAATTATTGTTTGCAGTAGACTAATTTTTTGAGGCTTCATATTTAATTTGAACTTGAGGTTAATTTGAACTTTTTTTTTCTCAATATGTTCATACAAGTGAGAGCTATAAAAAAGGCAACCTTTTTTTTGAGAAAAAAAAAGAAACAAAATGCGAATGGAAAATGATGTTCTATTTTACGGTTACCTGACTTCTTTTGTTATAATCGCTTTCTGATGCTCACCGTTTATATATTTTTATAAACTCTCGATTACGTTTAAGTGAAAATTTTCCCTTTTTGCCACGAGTCTTCTCTGTGTCTCAGGCTTGCTAAAATGGCAAATGAGAAACAATATGTTCGAAAACCACATAATTTTTTCCACGCGCCCCCCCCCCCACACCTCTTGGATTTCCATTTTGAAAAACTATTTGAACGTGTCATAATTTTAAAAAATTAATGGTGAAGAAAAGTAAATAGTGAACACGTTTTCTTTCCATAATTAATACCGTAACTTTGCTCATTTAGCGGTAATAAGCCGTGAAGTGAAGCAACTTTGAAAATAGAAAACTGAGCTTTTTTTTGGGGTGGGGGAGGGGGGAGGGGTAATTGAAAAAAGCCAAGCGACACTCTTCTCAAATTGGATTGTTGATTTTCAGACGACCGACTTCTGGACATCCCGTGCAAAGTGTGCGGAGATCGGTCCTCTGGTAAGCACTACGGGGTGTTCGCGTGCGATGGATGTTCCGGATTCTTCAAGAGATCCATCCACCGCAACAGAGTCTACCAGTGCAAGAGTCAGGGCTCGGAGGAGGGCAGTTGTCCCATTGACAAGACTCACAGGAACCAGTGTCGCGCCTGCCGACTCAAAAAGTGTCTCCTAATGCGCATGAACAAAGATGGTAGGAAAAACTTCTTCAAATTATCTCTTTTATTAAACGTATTTGAAAAACCGTGAACGCCATAGTTTTTCACATCAATTATGCAAATATTTTTTGCTACCTTCTATTTAAAAAAAAATAACTGACCGTAATGTATAAATATTTTAAAAACAGTTGGAGCTAGCTCTTGATGATTGCTGTTGTTCCGACCGGGTGTTTTTCTTTTTTTTTCACGCAAAATCAGCTACCACAAATAATCATCGCAAAGAGTGATATACCATGATAAAGTCGTTATTCGTTTAGAGAAAATTTTTCCAGTGTCGAGAAAAAACCGGTTTGAAGGCTTTTTCGTCTTACTTCGAGTGAATAAAGCGAGTGAGTAGGCTTACAATAGCCTCATTTTAGCCGTAAAATTTAGTTTACTCGAGTAAAGCGCGTTTTTTGAATTTTTTAGCGTCTTTCTGGAATCAAAATTTCAAAAATTCAGTTAGTTGAGTTGCTTGAGCTCTAGTTTTTTTCGTTCAGATCCTTTTATCGCACCAAGCCGAAAAAAACTATACTAATTAGAAAAAATTTTGTCGTACTTTTTATACTATGGGTGAAAGTTCTATGCCACTTGCACAGTAACCGGCTTTCCTTGTTTTTGTATCGTTTTTTCATTGAAATTAGAAATTTTGCATTGGTACAAAAAATGGTTTTATGAAGCGTAAAAGTTAGTTTTTTAACAATTTGGTTTTTTTTTGTAAAAACCGTTTTGAAGTTTCTAACGAATGTTTTTTTACATATTAGTTTAAACAATCAGCGTTTGCACTCTGCATTGTATATTGAACACGAAACGAAACTCAAAAAAGGTATTTAGTATATTGTTCAAAATACGATCATCAAATTACTTTTTTCTAAAATTTTTGAAATTATCGTGCCGTGAAAGCATTAACTGAGCTTCAAAATCAGGTTTATTAAAGCTTAAAATTTACCCTTCATAAATTAAAAAAAAGCAGTTAATCTGCTTGTTTGTTTTATTTGCTGCAAATAAAACCCAACTCGAATCGAAATTTTTCAACCCGTTTTTTTTCGACAGTGTGAGTAATTTTTGGATCTACTCGCGGTTTTTAAGGCTTTAATACAAATCTCCAATATTTATTTGTGATGATGTCTGATTATGAGTGAAAAGAAAAGTAGACAACATCTAACACACACCTTGAAGTTCCCAGAGGCGCTTAGCACAATTGTAAGGTGTTCACTTCCAGATCATCAGATCGTGTAATCGATCCACTGCCATGGCAATGATATTGTGTGAGGACGAGCTCTCACTTGCCCTCTAGTTTCAGGTCAACCACATGGCAGAAACCACAATCATTATTACTATGATTATTATAAAGTATTTTTTCCGCTTTCATCCTACAATCAATGCTATAAATTTTTCGCACTTCGAACCAAATAATGGTTTGAGACCAATTTTAATCAATGGTGAGGCAAAACTTGTTCCGAGACCAGAAAAGCTAACCAGCAATAAAAATACTTTTAAGCTATCCTCTTTAAGAAAGTTACGAATTTTTGCATGTTAATTCCGCTTAATGTTTGCTTAGTATGAAATTTTACATAGAAGTGCTGTTTTCTCGCTTTTTTTCTCATGAAATTTGAGAAATGTTAGTTTATCTTGAGAAACGTTTAATCAGCGATTTAGCGGCATTCGAATTACCAGTATTTTGAGTAGCGGTTTGGAGTAGCCATGTCAGAAGCTTAACGCTAAGTAACACTGGTCTGAAATACGGAGTCAGTAGATGGTGTTTCAATTGCCTACCTTGTAAAAAAAGTACTTTCTCCGTGCTTTTACACTTTTGTATTTTCACTACTATTTTTAAATTCGTTTTTCAGCCGTGCAACACGAACGTGGACCTAGAAAACCGAAACAGAAGTACTCACCTCTCGATTTCTCCACGACAATGAACGAAACCGAAACAGAAAAGGAAGCCTCGCCTTCTAAGCTTCACAAACCTCATTCCAACTCCAACTCATTTGTAAACTCAATTCCGAATCTGAAACCCACCCAAAACCTAAATGATAACAATAAAATCAAAGCGCCAGTTTTCGAAACAAGCAGTTCGAGAATATCCCCAAGCGAAAAAGCAAATCCACCAAATTGGCTCAATTCGAATTTTTACTCAAACGTCATGGCGAATATGTTGCAGACATATTTCAACTCATTAGCCTCAACGATCAATTGCACAGCTTCGGCACCCAAGGGTCCGGGTTCGATTCCCGCATACAGCCTGATGATGCCTTTTTACACGAGACAAGCACTGTTTCCAAACTTATGTTCCCCAGAAATTCCAAATGCAAATTTGAATACATCTTCGTTCTCTCCCAAAAACGATCAAATTTTGAACTTGACCTTGCCTCGAGGACTTAACAGTAACTTTGTCGAGAAAAACACGAGATTGGAAGAAACGAAAAATGAAATACACGATCAACATTTGAGCACGTCTGACAAAATTTGCAGAATAATTAGTGGAAATTTTCTATGGACGACCCAACTGCCTGCTTTTCAACTGCTAACCCCTCATGACCAGGTAAATTTTGGAGTATTTTTGGATATTTTTAAGAAAATATTATCATCAATTTACTCTTTCCTTTGAAACATGGAGAAAACAAGTTTGTTAAATTTTTTTTTTAATAGACTGAATATAACTTTTTAACTGACGCTTATTATTTCATAAGCGTCATTTTAATAAGAAATAGAAAACAAAATTGAGGTTCCATTTTTCATCTAGCTCTTTTTTCCGTCAAAATACTTGTTGGAAAAACATATATTAAGTAAAAAGGAAACACATATGGGGTAAAAGGACCGGCGATAAAAAAGTATCCATAACTAAACGTTTTTGTTTGTGAGGAGGGTGGTTCAGACCAAACGACCTTCCAACTATAAATTCTTGTTGCCACATTCATTTTAACAAACTCAATGTACGTTTTTGGCAAATTTTTGGCAGATGAAAGGATTTGCTTATAAAGCTAAATATCCACTTCGACTTTTGACTCTTTTTCAATTGGCAATATTTGTGCAATTTTTTTCTTTGAAAAGAAGCCAAGAAAAGGTGAATTAGGAAACAAACGAGGTCGAATTCATATGAAAAAGCACCTTCATTTCAATTCTAAGCCGCATCATTATCTTGTGAATTATTGATTATCAACTTTGTCGCAGGTAAACTTGGGATGTATTGACTTTCGCGGTCAAAGTGGAAAAATAGATTTGGGATAAAAAGGAGAGATATTTTACACAGGTGATAAGGGAAACAGCGGCAGCCTGTCAGTTAAAAGCCAGAGCCGACTTCGGTCTGGCTGCAAACCAGCATGGAGCTATTTGAAAAGTAAAAAAATCAATCCGAAGCTGATGAAAAATTGAAAGGCTAATCAGAATTCGGAGGGGAAGTGGGGGTGAAGCGCGTCTGGTTTTGTAAACAGAAATAAACAGAAAGCAATCAAGTTGAGAATCGATAAGTGACATTAAAGTACGCAGTTAGATTTGCACAAGTGACTACAGAGGATCAAGTGATCAACTTAGTGCCTCTGCTAGTAGTCCATTTGAACAAACAGATCGGGACATGAAAAGACAAAATTGACACCCAAACCCCCAAGCTCAAAAATCAACGCAAAAAACTCAATATACTCATGGAGACGGATCGATAATATCATTATATTGCATTCTGAACTGACTATTCGTTTTCATAAAATTATTATCAATTAAGACGTTTTATCCACAAGGGTAAAACGTCCGCAAGGGTAAAACAAACATACGAGCTGTTCAGCTTTTCACGGAGATTGCTGTTGTGCCCCTGTCCACTGTTTAAGATATTTACGCAGTTTTTTCCTGGTTATATTTCTGTGCTGGGTAATGTTGCCTCACCCTCAAACAACTTGATATAAAGATAACTTGATAACCCCGTGCACAGGGGCGGATCTAGGATTTTCTCGCGGGGGGGGGGGGGGGGGCGGAATTTCAAAAAATGTTCGAATAATCTGATCTTTTTTTGTCGACCAAATTGATTTTCCGAGCGCTCTATAATATTATAAAAACCGTATTTTGGCAGCAAATTTTGCGCCGCAGGCAAAGTTTTGAAAAAAAAAACAGGTCAAAAAGGCAAAATTTTCACCAGAAAGTTCCGTTTTTTTTGCATTTCTTCAAAATGAGTATATATTGGCGTTGAAGGCGCTTTTAGAAAATTTAAGGGTCGATTAGTGAAAATGGATGTCATAAAACTTCCAAAGGGGGGACCCTTTGGTTAGTGAGGTGGTCAAGTCCCTGAGGGAGAGAGGGCGCATTTGCCCTCTCCCCCTAAATCCACCGCTGCCCGTGCTAGTATATTTTTAGACCCCATTGACCATTTTGATTGTTTTAGAAGCTGTTAGTTCAAGCATCTTGGAAGGAGACGCTTTTGCTTAACTTGGCACAACACCTCACGGCTTACGAAGTTTCGGCTAATTTCTCGCTTTCGGCCACAAGATACCAAACTGAAGGAAGTCTAATAGAAAACAATAGTGAACATCAGAACAGTTCCCTCGGCTCTGTGGTGAAGAAGATCCATAGCTTGAATTTGGATGTCACCGAATATGTGCTACTTAAGACCATCGCAGTGTTCAAACCAGGTATGCACATCAGCTCAGAGTTTAAGGGAAAATTATTCAGATAAAATTTCTCAAAGCTTAAGGCTCAAAAACAATTGCTTGTTGCCAATTTCAAAAACAAATAGGCGTTTCGGTGCAGCTTAGTTTTAAATAAAAACTAAAACAAAAACTCTCGACATCAAAAGTAAATAAAATGTATTTTGTTAGATTGAGTCCCTTTCTCATTGAAATAAAAGACTAAAGATATGTCCACATTTTTAAAGAAAACCAAGCAGAAACGTCGGTGGCTCGAAGCTCACAATGATTTGAGCTTGCTTGAGGAAGACAACTTTGCCCAAGCCACAAAAATAGCGTGTAATTCTGAAAAAGGCGCACAAGCCCACAGCAACGAATCTGCATAAAAAACTGAATAGGTGGTATGTTGTTCCTTTCTTTTTCATCCTTGAGGATAAAACGTCTTGAAAAAAACTTATATGCATGTTTTCATTGCCATCTTGGTCCCCTTTTTCTAGTAAAACTAAATGATGTTTTAAGTTAATATTTTGAATTTTGTTTTAGAAATAGTGGACCTGGTTGACCCCAAAGCGGTCGAGGGAGTGCAGGACCAGTGCCAGGTGATGTTGGGGGACTACATTAAGAGACAGCACCCGTCAAACCCCATGCGATTCGGCAGACACCTCCTTCTAATGAGCACTCTCAAGACAGCTGTGGATGAGCGAGAAGTCGTCAGCCAATTGAAAGCCGCCACGACTGCAACGACTAAAAATGTGTCCAGCGAAATGAACAGAATCGACCAAGCCAAAATTGAGAAAGCCGAAAACTAAGATGCTCTGAAAGAAAGTTTATCCAAAACGTTCGAAAAAACTCAACAACTATAGAAACTTAAAATTAAGATTCAACAACTATAGAAACTTATAGTGCTAGTATTCGTACAGGATGTATAAAAAACTTTAACAGTCACAATCGATTCGATATTTTACAAAAGTTGAACAAAACGTTCGAAATAATTTGACTTTTAAATTGAAAACGCATGTGTGTGAATTCATATATTTAATTAAAGCCTTTTTAAATTTAAGAAAAATTAATTAAGATCCTTTATCCACGGGGGAAAAGACCAACACAAGAGCTGTACAGCTCATCACGGCGAACCGCTGTTGCGCCCCTGTTTAAGAACTACATGCAACTTTTTTTGGTTATTTTTCTGGGCTGGGTAATGTTGCTTCACCCTCAAGCAACGAGCACGGATCATGGTGGGCCTCGAACATCCGACCTTTCGATTGAGAGGCGGAGACGTAACCACTTCACCACCTCTCCACTAAAAGCTATATTGGAAAAAAAATATAAAAGCTAGATTGGAATTTATCAAAGGAATATTTTTTTCACTTGATTCGGTCGATTTTCGAACATCATTGATAGTCGCAGGGGCGGATCTAGGATTTTCTCGAGGGGGGGGGGGCGGATTTTCAAAAATTTTTCCAAAATTTTGACGACCTTTTTTTTTTTTTTAGGTCGACCAAATTGATTTTTCGAGCTCTCCCAAAGCACTGTTTTGCCCCTATTTTGGCAAAGTTTTTGGGCACTTTTTGAAAAATTTTGACAAAAAAATAGCGTTTTTTTTGGCGCGCGCTCCCCCTCAAAGATAGTATATATTGGCGCCGAAGGCGCCTTTAGAAAAATTTTAGGGTCGGTCGGCCAAAAATGAATTTCTGAAAAAGTATCAAAGGGGGGACCCTTTGGGTCGGCAGGGGGTCGAATCCCTGAGGGGGGGGGCGTCCGCCCCCCCCCCGCCCCCCCCCCCCCCCTAAATCCGCCCCTGGATAGTCGTTTATAAAATTGCTAGTGTTAAATAATTTCCCCCTACTTCCCTCTTCCTCGATTGAAATAAAAACAGCTCAATTAGCTTGTTATCACATATCTTGTTATTTTTGTCAGAAGTGAATATTGATTTGATTTGGACGAAGTTTACAAAGAGGCACTTTGAAAGGGGAACAGTGTTGATTGACTTTGTGTCATTTTCCCACTAAGTTAAATATACTCTACCAGCGGGCTGAACAAATACTACAACACCGGAGCCAATATTTTATCTGCATCTTCATTGTCGCTGCCTGTTATTTTTTTGATGAAGAAAATCTTGATGGAATGGCCAGCTGATAGAAATGTCACTCAAGTCGAAAAATTCAAATGGCTAGCCTTAAAATGTGTCAATGAGGATTGTCGAAAATGGCAACCATGTCAAAAAATATTTTCGGACTTCACTGCATGCCATTTTTATTCAAAAAAATCTATACCCTTTATTTTATACTGGAGATTTTCATCGAAATTTTTCAATCTAAAAAAAATCAAAACCCATTCGCATATCTAAGGAAAAGCAGTCTGTAACTTAAAGAACTCAACAGTTGTTAGTATGCGGCGCAAATTAGAATTTTTTTCTCCGAAACTTTAGAAAAGTTAAATCTGATCACTTGAAATTTACCAAAACAAGTTTCTAAAGTGTTCCGAAGTTGAAAAGCATTGAAATTTTTTTGGACTGTAAGGACGCAAGCTATGCAGCTATAAAAATGACAGCCGATTCGGAAACAAAGTTTAATAAATAAAGATCGATTTTTTTGCAAGAATGGCATGAAAATATATCCGAAAATCAGTAAAATTTAAGAATAACTTTTGTTCTTTGCAGCCCCAAAAGATGCTGTTTTATATTTATTTTTTTGGATTAAATGCACGGAATTCTTTTGCCTAATGAATTATAAATTTAAAAATGTGAAAAATTCACTGGCTGTTGTTCGTCGATCATTTGGACGTTCTGCCAGGAGAACAGTAGCCCTGCAAAAAGTAACGAATTGATTTGATTCGACTATTTTCCCTCTCATTTTGGACTTGTGAAAAGTTGGGAATAACAAATACTTCAAGTGTTGATTTAAAATTCAAAGTTGGGAGCTTAAAAAGCCCCAGCTATGAATTACAATTCGACGTGATAAGATTGTAACGGGGAAGATATCGGGTCTTGCTGTAGGTTTATCTTGTCAAAAAGTTGTTACTTAATGTATCAGCTCTTAGAATTAACACTTGTAAAGTTGATTGAATTTTAATTTCTGGCCGCAATCGATTTTAGCCGCAATCGATAGCCAAATGAAGGGTTCAAGTGTTTCGAAATAAAAACTTTTTGGATCTTTTTCTTTCTTAGGCGGAACTGATTGTGTAAGCGGTCTAACTTGAAACTACTCGGTTCTTTTTAAGTTTGTTAAATCATAGTCATTTCTGATGATCTGTTCTTTAAACCGAGATACCATTGGCAGAGAGATAACGGGTTTTAATTATATATAAATTATAAAATACATCCTCTGCATCCAAATAAACCAATGCAAAAAATGATCCGGAGGAAACGAATGCAACTTTATTAAAACGAATAAAAGAGAAAAATGAAACCCGTTTTTGCCACACAGTGTTGAATTTAGACAAAAAATGATGAAGACAAAACTTCGGTCGTAAAACCTTGGAATTGTCGTAAAATCTTAATGATGCAGGTTGTTTTGAAAAATTCGGGCCCAAAATGTTCCCCCAAGAGGTATAAAGTTTGGCTTTTCATAATCAATCAAAACGTAAGCGACAACCTCTGCGTAATTGCTTACAAAAGTACATCATAGTGAAACCTTTGATGCAGTTGGTGTATCCTCGAACTGTGTGTAAAATTCTCAATGTCGAATGGCTGAAAATTCTAAATTAGAAGCCAGTTAACATTCCTAAAACGTTTCAGCGAGGAGGATCTTGACTTGGTCCGATCTAAAAAAAATAAGACGAACAGAGAAAACATACAAAAATAGAGATCAAAACTGATATATTCTTCAGTTCGCTTTATAGAAAAATATTGACCAAAAATAAAGGTTATTTTTGTTAAACTGCTCAAAATTATGCAAGGCTCAATAAGTATTTGTTTGAAACTGACATTTGCCAAAAATGCCTTCAATAGATTCCTTTCACAGCTTCCATATGCTTTACAGCCGCTGTGATACCAGAAAACAATATTTAAAAATCGAAAAAAAATTTGCCCGGTTGCTAGAAGTTGAGCGGCAGGTTTCTGAAAAGTTTCGTAATTCAAAACACTAAGAATAAACTTTTTGTTTAAATTTCCGTCTTAGCTGCTTTTTTTTTCTTTACCAACAAAAGTTGTTAGTTAAGCAATAACAGTCTCGTGGGAGCAAATGGGGTATTTCTCAGGTTAAAACGACGTCATTTTCACCACACACAAGCACACAGCGGCTGCAGGCAAGATGGGAATCTCGGTGAACCGTCCCATTGCTTCAGTTTCTTTTAACTTCAATTCTTATTTGTCTACTGGATGTCTTCGTTCTTACGACTAATGCTGTCATAGCCTATTCTCGAAGCACTTGCCTCCAGAAGCTGTCGATCCTAAATTATACAGACTCATAATCAAAACATAGCCAATTTGGGTCGAGTCGGTAGAAATATAGCTCACTTGGGTCGAACACAGTCGAACGCATTTTTCATTTCGTCGAGTTGGTCGAAATATAACTAGTCCGATTAGCGTGAGGCGGAGCGCCGATTCCTAAATTTATCGTCCATTTCAATGAAAAAAATTGCATCGTCGGTCAGAATTTTTTGATTTTTGAGATTTTTTCATTGACAACGAATATCTCAATTTGTTTTGATGAACCTGTCAATGGCGAGATATTCATGTTGTGGTTTCTTGAAGAATACCAGTTTAAACAAGACTCAATTCTCCTTGTTTAATAATAAATTAGTTTGTAATTAATATAGATAATGTAAGTGATATAGATAATGTCATGACAAATTCTAGAGTTCAACTTAAATGTTTCATAAATTGAGACAGAGTGAATAAGAGCACTTGATGATAAGTAGAGAATGGATTGACAGGTCGGTAGCGACCTTGATAGCCAATAGGCAAGCTTAGCACGAATAACTAGCATAGAAAGTAATACATTAATGACGTCATAATAATACTGATATACTACGCCACACCACATTTCCCCCTCTAGGGAAAAATTCAAATGAACATTTGAATTTCTTTAAATTAAAATGACTAAACATGCCCTCACTACCGTTTAACAAAACTTCTTGTAACCTATGAAACACTAATAGAAGTTTACAAAGTTGACGGATAGAACTTGAGAGAAAATGTACTGAAAATGTTTTGAAAGATCGACGAGTTTGAAAGACCGGAAAGTTTTATTTGTCTGAACGACGCAAAGGATGATCTGAAGAGCTCTTTTTAGGGAAACGAGTAAATTTTCTACATAAACGTTCAGATTCAATGGGTGGAACAACCCGAGACTGCCCCGCTTGAACCTCTAGCTCTTGGTTAGCCACAACAAAACGAACTTTCTTGTCCGGCGAAACAGGAGTTGATGGGGAAGTAGGCGTCGAGGTGGTATTAACGACATTCACAGAATGTCTGATTGGACTGCCGTAGAAGGTTGTCTGCTTTTTCCGGCGCGAGGAAGTTCGAGAAGAGTTCAGTTCGATGATGACGAAATATTTCCGTCCGGTTCGGAAATTACGCCAGAACCATCCCGGGTGGGGAGACCCGATGCTGCCAAATTTGACGACGTGCACTCTTGTAGCTTCGGAACCAATGACTCATCGTCCGAAGAAATAGGAATGAGATCTGGGCATAATGGAGTTTTGACTTTAGTTGGTGATTTCGGTTTGATACTGATGGGAACCTCCGTTCCTTGGTTTCCTGAGGTGGACGAAGAAGCCGTTAAATCTACTACTGGAGTAGAGTATTGGGGATAAGGAATAACCTGATCTCCTGGAGCCTCCGATACTGAATTTTGCTTTGAATTGGACGAGAAAATTCGAACACGAGATGGTGTAGATGAAGTCACCAGTGACGGGAATTTCGGGCGCGCAGGTACGGCCACAGTTTTGGCCGAGATTCGTTGGTGAGAACTAGTCTGTTTCAAAGGCCGATTGTCCTCTGACGATGAAGGCGAAGATGACACAATGGGGCGTTTCTGCCCCTTCTTTACAGGCGTTGCTTGCTTGCGTTTTGGTATTGACGGACGGATTTGTTCAGTTGT